TCCTTTCGATATTTGCACGTATCGGATCATAACTTCCTTAATTTTGGCCCTAATTGTACGAAAAATCATGTTGTTAGCTTGTGATCCCTCTAGAGGTCACAATTATTATCTGATTTAAAATATACTGTAATTTTGATTGAGTTTAAAAAACGTTTAAATATATCACCATTCCACCATAATGAATGTTCAATTCAAATCTCGTGAAAATCGAAATGAAACTGCCCGACAAAATGTCCACTCTTTGTACACAAATTGTGTAAAAATATGCAATACGAAGGTTGTGGACCCTCTAGAGGTCACAATTTTTATCTGATTTTTATGAAACTTAAAACATATCTTTATATACAAAAGATCTCAGTCCCTTTTAATATTTGCGCATATCAGACAATAACTTTCTGGATTATTGCCCCTGATTGTACACAAAATCCTGTTTGTTTTTAGCTTGTTCTCTATCCATCTCTTGCAAAATGTGGGCGTATCGTGCCTGGCAGCCGCTGGTGTTTCAATAATTCGCATGCGTGTGGGGGTCGAGCGAAAGGGAACTCAAGGTCCAGGCCAAAAACCCTCGGGGTTGTACAGGTGAACCAATCGGATTAAAATACAGGTCTATATTTTGTTTTGCATTGGCCAAGAAAGTTCATCCCGATTTTTTTGACATGGTTTCCCCTTGTCAGTGGTGCAGAACGGAGGGCCTGACAAGGACAGCTGTCTAGTCTTTCGGATGAGACGAAAAACCGAGGTCCCGTGTATACATTGGAATGCACGTAAAAGATCCCTTGGCAGTTGGGAATTCGATATAAGAGTAGGCGATAGTGCCACTGCCCGGGCAAAATTTCCCTCATAGCACACTGTATGGCGTATGCCCGTCTTCATTAGCCCAGTTTAGGAGCAGAAAAGTAGGACGTTAAACCCCATTTCATTTCATTTCGTGGTCGTATATTGCTGTCGCTCCCTTCAGTCCGTCCATCCAGCCTCCCCTTTTAATCCGCCCACATTGAAATGTGGTGGTATATTGCCGTCGCCCCCTTCAGTCCAGCCATCCGGCCTCCACGATTGCTTGTGGAAGCTCTAGGGGCCAAAGTTAATATCTAGTTGACTTTAACTTTATACGTAGTCTTTATGGTCCTGACACAACTGCATATGGCATATAAACATATATAGGCATATGGGATATCATATTTAATGCCTTGCATTAGAGTGCACATAAAAGATCCCTTGGCAGTTGGAATTCGATATAAGAGTAGGCCATAGTGCCGCTGCTTATGCAAAATTGCCCTCATAAGTGTATGGCTTATGCCCGCCTTCATTAGCCTAGTCACAGCAGCAGTGTTTAAAATTTACGTCGGTCCGTAGGCCCAGCGCCGATAAATAACTTGGCGGGCCGACATCTTTTTATTTTGAAGATGGTGGGTCGGCCCTGTGAGCCGACTGTTTTTGTCGGGAAAAATATGTGTCATGGATATTTTGTTCATGGTTCTATCAAATTCTCCTTTGAAAATATTTATATTGTCCCTATTTATATCCGTAATATGTTTCATCCAGATATTTAACTGTATTTCATTATCGGAAATAAAAATAAAATTGTCCACCGAAAGAAATCGTTGTAATTGTGAGGTTGTGCTTGCAAATATCAGCAAGCTCCCAGAGTTCGGCAGAATATTATTTAACCCTTTTGATCAAGTGTGGAATAGATGAGTGTGTGTTCCGATAGTATGCCTTACTTACTGTCTTATTTGTCTTTATCCGATATTGAATACACATGCATAATCCGGCATATTATATTCCTTCAATTGTGAAATCCAAACGTGTGCTACTAAACTAGGTCAGTCCATCTACTGTACTGTCATGAATCCAAGAATAAAAATCTACATGATATAAATTCTTTGTCTTGTAAAAATGAAATTGAAAAAGCAGAGCTGAAAATTCCCTGAAAACCTAACTACTGATAACAATACAATTCCAGTGAGGTAAAAACGAGTGGCATTTCCCGCCATTCTTTCTAAATCTCGTGATTTACTAGCAGACTTGATTATCAAGTCTATTTCTTTAATGACGATTTCACTACCGTAATGAAGACCCAAGTCTTCGAAAACAGGCACGTACAATATGTGACTGTCCGCATCTAAATGAGTCGGAATGCGGGAGAATCAATAATGAGATAAAGACAAAATAAGTGAAAATATTGATTTTGAACAAAATTGAGATTTTCACAAAAATGAGTCTATAAATATACTATCTATCGACACAGAAGATCAAAATAGCAATAAAACATTTTAAAACACCTGTATTTGAACGTTTTGTAAGAGTACCGTATTCTTAAATCTGTCCTATTTCTCAAAATTCTTGGCGAAATTAGTTATTTTTCTTCGCTCGCAGTGGGACGACCGGTCATTCCTCTTACATAACAATTGGCATCGTTGTAAAGCGGAGCATCTCTAGTTTATAAATATGATCAAAATATTGTCGATGAATTGATTTTGAACGGATACAATCGAGTTTTAAAACCCTCCAAAAATATAAATAAACTCCGCCTGTTGCCATGCTGTCCACACAACTCCTTTGCTGATTGGCCCGGACACCGCGTGCAAGACATTATCGATAAATATTTGGTTTTGTCAATGTTTTTGGGTACCTACATGCGATTCACTCTGATAAGTGGCAGAAAAAAAAATTAATTCTGATCGTATAGATTGCCGTTGAGTGTTAATCGAAACAACGTGGCTGATGATGTAAATTAATCAACAAGCGGGGGGTGTCATTGAGTAATACTTTTACTAATCAACTGTCACGGGTCAATGATAAAGCCGTCGACAACTCATTATTTACTCCGAATAATTAATCCAAGTGGTGATTGTTTGATATCTCATATCATCTTTAAAAAAATAATCTATAGGCCTTAAATGGAAATAAACAAAATGGCCAATAATGTTCTTTTCGAAGAGAATTTTATTGATAGCTGAATTCCGTTTAACGTCGCGTCTTCATACGGTATGCAAAGTAAGGAATGCATTTGGGATATTATTGTTTAAAATTCTCTTATCACGATGGGTCGAAAAAATGAAAACGACCAACGAGCCGAAATGCGACGATTCTCGAGTCTGCCATTGAGTATCCTCTGAATAATGTTGATATTTACATCAAAGCCAAAATGCACGAAAGTGAACGTAAGCATTGACTATGAAATTGACATTTCTATAGGGACTCATATTTTGATAACGTCACGGTACCTGAAAATAATAATAGACCTATCGTACACGCAAATTCTTATTTTAATTCACGTGTTAAATGAACACGCGTACAGCTGTTGCGGCTTCTTTGATGATTATCCAATCAACAATCTTAATCTCCCGACCACTAGCTGGCACTAAGGTGCTAATTAATTGATGAGATTAACTGAGTTAATCTCACTAAAGTTATATTATACACAACAGACTACTAATGTATAGATTGTTCTTCAGTATAACACTATCATGTGAATATTATGCCGTATGTGTTGTGGATGTTTCGTTACGAAAGGAGTGCATTTATTACAATTTTCGTCTTCAGCACCATTGAAATCCTAAATAAAAAAACATATTAAACGACAAAATATAGTAAATAAATTGCGGAAATAGTCGGATCAAATTTTTACTACGATTTTCGTCTTCAGCACCCCTGAAAACCCATGGAAAGATATATTCACCGACAAAACAGCAGATAAATGGCCTGGTTGCTATGGGATTTTGTTTTGGAACATACCAAATCTTTGACTTGCTTTTTCTCAAAACTTACTTTTGTGAGTTGGGTAGCTTCTAATGGACACAGCTCAGTCAATTTTTGCCCAATTCAAACAAACTATACATCAAATTGAAGGCAATGAGTTGGAGAATGTGCAAATAACAATAACTCAATTTTCAAAATTTCCTCATTGTGACTCGGTATGCTGTGGGGGGGTCACATATGTCATATATAGAAAGAATAACAAAGAGTTTATGGTTTCATAAATATGGACTATCCCAACGCGTGACATCAGGTCAGTTTAATACTGATAAAAAATAATGTGTGGGCTGCCAAACAGCAGTGATAGTTTACTTTCATTTTGAAAGAGGTCACGGTCTTTCATTTCACAGTTCCACACGTCATGATGAATGAAACAAATAAAATGATTGTGGCTACCGGACAGTAAATATAACATGTTTTTTTAAATGTAAGACATTAATCTATGTCTGGAAGGACCTGAACGCCAGTTTTATTTCATTTCATTTAAATGAACAATATTTTCTGTTAATTCTCGGAGAGTGTAAAGGGCCATTTAATCCGTAATCTTCAGATTTCTATGTGAATGGAATTTCGAGATATTATATTGTCAGTACTAGTAGACCTATATATAATCATTAAGATTATTACAACTACAAGTAAATATTTATTTATTACAGAAAAAATAAATACCATGTCTGGGGTAAAATAGAGGTGGTATGATTTTTATCTTTCTATACACGAAGTATTAACATTAAATCCTTCAAAACTTAAAACTGTAATGTGTACAGTCAATCAATATTGAATACATATTTTAACTTTTAAACCTGTCCCAAATGGCTAGAACTTAGAAATAAGGGCATTTGGGGTGGGGTAGTGTACATGTGTTTTGTTAATATTTATTGGGCCCACAACTTAATGTTAGGACCTACAACTTTCATGAATGGCTTCTACCAGCGACTCTTATTGGCCTACAACTTTTCTTGACGAATTTTATACACTGCACAGCAGAACAGTAGGACATTAAACCAATTGAGTCAATTGGTGTGGTTCCAAATCCCCGGTTGTACACGACAAGGAGTAGGGTCGTCTGTCAAACCTTGTGGGTTTTCTCCAGGTCCTCCGGTTTCTTCTTCCTACTACTAAAGACCCCTATGCGCAAGCAAATTATTAAATTAAAATTAAACCATGTTAGTCCCGAAATGACTTAGGTTGTGTTGAGTGGACGTTAAACCCCATTTCTCTCACTATCTTTTTACTTTCAGAAAATTGAGAGATCGATAGCCCGGTATGATCCTCGAAGTGTTGAATATGTAGAGAATATACAATGGGAAAAGTTCAACGATGGATTTCCTAATCTCTTTATTCAAGATGTCAGACGAATGGCCGGAAAAGATGGTAAAATTTTTATACGCCCACATTTTCATGTGGACGTATATTGTCGTCGCCCCTGTCCGTCCGTCCACAATTGTTTGTGAACAGTCTACAGGTCACAATTTTTATCCGATTTCAATGAAACTTGAAATATAGGGTTATCACACGAAGATCTCGGTTAATTTCGATATTGGCATGTATCTGACTAACTTCATGGATTATGGCCCCTGATTGTACGAAAAATCACGTTTTTAGCTTGTGAACACTGTAGAGGTCACAATTTTTATCCGATTTTGTTGAAACTTGAAATGTAAGTTTATAACCCAAAGATCTTGGTTCCTTTCGATATTCGCGCATATCGGACCGCAACTTCCCGTATTTTCGTACAATCACGTTTTTAGCTTGTGGACCCTATAGAGGTCATAATTTTTATCCGATTTAAAAAAAACGTATTATTATATCACCCTTACACCTTAAGGGCGGCTGAGTTCGAATTTCGTGAAAATCGACCCCAAACTGACCGAGAAAATGGCCGCCCTTCGTTCTCAAATAGCGTAAAAATATGGTATATCAAGGTTGTTTACCCTATAGAGGTCACATATTTTATCCGATTTTGTTGAAACTGGAAATGTAAGTTTATAACCCAAAGATCTTGGTTCCTTTCGATATTCGCGCATATCGGACCGTAACTTCCTGAATTATGATCCCTGATTGTACGAAAAATCGCGTTTTTAGGTTGTGGACCCTATAGAGGTCATAATTTTATCCAATTTAAAAAAATGTATAGCGTAAAAATGTATGGTATATCAAGGTTGTGGACCCTATATATAGAGGTCACAATTTTAATCCTATTTTGATGAAACTTTAAATGTAAGTATTTAACCCAAAGTTCTTGGTTCCTATCGATATTCGCACATATCAGAACATAACTTCCTGAATTATGGCCCCTGATTTTACGAAAAATCGTGTTTTTAGCTTGTGGACCCTATAGAGGTCAAAATTTTTATCCGATTTAAAAAAACATATTATTATATCACCGTTGCACCCTAAGGACGACAGAGTTCGAATTTCGTGAAAATCTACCCCAAACTGACAGACAAAATGGCCGCCCTTCATTCTCAAATAGCGTAAAAATATGGTATATCAAGGTTGTGGACCCTATAGAGGTCATAATTTTTATCCGATTTTGTTGAAACTTGAAATGTAAGTTTATAACCCAAAGATCTCGGTTCCTTTCGATATTTGCGCATATCGAATTGTAATTTTCTGAATTATGGCCCTTGATTGTAGGAAAAATCACTTTCTTTTTAGCTTGTTCTCTATCCATCTCTCGAAAATGTGGGCGTATCCTGCCTGGCAGCCACTGGTTAATACATGTAGTAATAATATAGAGCGAAGCTCTAAAGCATCTCACGAAGGAAATTTGACAGTTGACAATGCATGATGCCATCATCGTCTCCAAATTACGAAGGCGTACATACATATTGAACTTTTTAAAGAGAGAAATCAAACACCCTGTGCCCTTATTCACGAAAACTTAAACTAAGATACAATCGAAATTTTAAGAAATACTGCAATTCGATTGGCTGACCAGTAAAATCAATTTGCATATATCCAATTTGCATATTGGTCAGCCAATCGAATTGCAGTATTTCTTAAAATTTCGATTGTATCTTAGTTTAAGTTTTCGTGAATAAGGGCCCAGTTTAATGTCAATTTTTATTTTGAAATAATATAGAGCGAAGCTCTAAAGCATTGCGCAAAGTGCGGTGCTTGAACAAAGGTCTTTTCCGGTAACACAGGAACGAAACTAAAACTGTCACTACAGACTGTTGATTAAAAGAAATTCAGACCGGAACCGGATGCACTGGGCAAAAATGGCAATACGCATGCCAACTTACCAAATCTCCCCCAAGCAAGATTACGCGACTAATAGAAATATTTTTATGACGGGTTTAATCAGTGACATTACTTGTATCACTTGAGAAACTTAATATGTAGGTTTTATATTTAACAACAATCATATCACCTTCGCTCTACTCAGAGGCAATGCCATAGAGTTATATATAGAAACAAGAGTCCGCACTGATCACGTGACCCCCATGACTACAACGTTAAAGGTTTGTGCCGGGATGGAGCGACGGCCGCCATGTTAGTTCCGGGGAGTATGAACGTAAATACCCGGATGTTCACTATGTTATCGCATCAATCAGTCTGTGTCAAACTGTTTTAAAATGTGCACAAATATTAAATTTTTAAATTTTCTCACCCAAATTTTTATTGTTTAATAAAAATAATACATTTGTATAGCATGAATTGAAACGAAATGGGGTTTAATGTCCTACTGTTCTGCTCCGACTGAGCTAATGAAGATGGCCATGCATCATATAGTATACTATGTGGGAAATTTTGCACGGACAACAATGCTAAATGCGACTCTATATCGAGTTCCAACTGCCAAGGGATCTTATACGTGCACGCTGTCTGGGCAAAATTTCCCATAGTGTATGCCCATCTTCGTTACTCGGAGCAGAACAAACTCCAATCATTTTATTTACTGTCCATTTTTGCCATTAAAAAAAGTTTCCTCCCGGTGTTGTCCGAGAAAGTTCATCAGGATTTTTCAGCATGGTTTCCCCTTGTCAGTGGTGCAGAATGAAGGGCCTGACAAGGAAAGTAAGATCCCTTGGCAGTTGAAATTCGATATACAAGAGTAGGCCGTAGCACCGCTGTCCATGTAAAATTTCCCTCATAGCACACTGTATGGCATATGCTCTTCTTCGTTAGCCCAGTCAGAGCGGAACAGTAGGACGTTAAACCCCATTTCAATTCATTCAAACAAAGATATGTCTCAAATACTCTTAGATCAGTGGTTCTCAACCTTTTTTTTGCTAACGGCACACCTTGGAACACATGAAAAAATAGCGGCACACCTGGCCAAATATATATGAAAAAATATTTGAATTTTGCAAAATAAAAACACGGCAAGTCATAGACGGCATACAACCATAGACACAGACTAGTCATAGACACATAGAATGACTCAAACTAAACTAAATAAAGAAAAACACAGCTATGAACTTACATGTAGACACAAGTGAAAACACAATTGGGATAACATGTTTTTTCGCATTTTTTTAGTGTGCCGTTCAAAATTGTGCGGCACACTAAGGTAGATCTTGCGACACACTGGTTGAGAATCACTCCTGCATAATTTAAAAAGGGCTGCATGACTCATTTTAATTTCAAAATATAAAAATTAAAAACGGGTTGATAGATAATAGCATGTTTATGTTTCTTTCACCAAGTGTACTGTAGCAGGGGCGAATCCAGGATTTTCTGAAACGGGGGGGGGGCATGCTGCCCTCACTTGGACGGACTGACGGGCAATCAACCAAGTCACCAACTGGCTCGTTCCGGAGTAAATTACAACGGGAATTACTACCATTTTTATACGCCCACATTGAAATGTGGATGTATATTGCCGTCACCCCCGTCCGTCCGTCTGTCGGTCCGTCCGTCCGTCCGTTGTCCACAATTTCTTGTGAACACTCTAATACCAAAAGTTATCATCCAATTGTTTTAAAATTGATATATGTTGTTTACATTAGTGAGATGAAGAAGCCAATTTAATTTCAATAATTAATTTTGAATTTAGCAATTTCCGTTTATTACGTCTAGAGTTATGGCCCTTGTTTCACTTTATTGAACCTTGTGAATGCTCCAACGCCAAAATTTATCACCCAATCTTTGTGAAATTTATATGCATTATTTAGATTACTGAAACGAAGAAGCCTATTGAATTTCAGCAATTTCCGTTTATTACGTCTAGAGTTATGGCCCTTGTTTCACTTTATTGAATCTTGTGAACGCTCCAACGCCAAAAGTTATCACCCAATCTTTGTGAAATTTATAAGCATTATTTAGATTACTGAAATGAAGAAGCCTATTGAATTTCAGCAATTTCCGTTAATTACATCTAGAGTTATGGCCCTTGTTACACTTTATTGATCCTTGTGAACGTTCTAATGCCAAAAGTTATCACCTGATCTTTGTGAAATTTATATGCACGATTTAAATTAATGAAACGAGAAAGCCTATTAAATTTCAGCAATTTACAATAATTACTTCTAAAGTTATTGCCCTTGTTTCACTTTGTTAAACCTTGTTAATGCTCGATTTATGAAAGTTATCATCCGATATGTATGAAATTTATATGTATCATTTAAATTTGCGAAACAGGTCTATTGAATTTCACCAATTTCCGTCAATAATTTCTAGAGTTATGGCGATTGTGAACGTTTGAATGACAAAAGTGATCATGTGATCTGTATGAAATTTATATGCATTATTTAAATTAGTAAAACAAAAAAGCCTGTCAAATTTCAACAATTTCTGTAGATTACTTCCAGAGTTGAGACCCTTGTTTCAGTTTGTAGAACCTTGTAAACCCTCAAACGACAACATTTATAATCTGATCTGCATGGAATTGTCTTGTAAAGGCCCCCAATTGCCTACAAAGGAATAAATATGTGACAACCCTTGTCGACTGCTCGGACGATTTAGCTGCTGTGGGCGTATGTTTTGTTGCCTGGCAATCTATCTTTAAGTATTTTTGTTCTCCTTTCCCGCGAGAATATATGGGACATATTTATTCGCCACCGTAAAAAAGTGGGGGGGGGGGGGAAGTGCTAGTATAGGCCACTTTTCATAAGCCCAATCATAATAAATGAAATGAAATGAAATGGGGTTTAACATCCTACTGTTCTGCTCCGACTGGGCTAATGAAGACAGACATATGCCATATGAGGGAATTTTTGCCCGGGTAGCGGCACTATGGCCTACTCTTATATCAAATTCCAACTGCCAAGGGACCTCTGTTTTTCGTCTCATCCGAACAAATAGACAGCTGTTCTTGACAGGCCCTCCGTCCTGCACCACTGACAAGGGGAAACCACGTTGAAAAAAATCTAGATGAACTTTCTCGGCCAATGCAGGGATCGAACGCAGGGATTTGGCGCAATGGTTAGAGAGTAGGATTTGTGACCGAATGGTTGCAGGTTGGAGACCCGAATTGTGCGCCGAGTTCTTGTGTCCTTGAATAAGACACTTTATCCCTGTATTCCAGTCTACCCAGCTGTAAATGGGTACCGGTAGGATGGTGTATGTATTATACAAAAAACTGTTGCGCTCCTTGAAGCAGCATATGTTGGGGCTCTTTCCAAGAGTTCAGGGGTAAAGGGAGGTAATCAGGCTTTACCTGTATCCTAGAGACCGGGATAATAATTGTGTAGCGCTTTGAGCATAAACTTGGTTTATGGATATAGCGCATTATAAATATACTCATTATTATTATTACCTCCAGACTAGCGAGCCAGCGTCTTACTCACTGAGCCACCATGGCTCCTAGCCCGATGATAATAAAAACACATAAATGTAAACCTGCATCCCACACAATGTTTTTTTTTCTATGGCCTAATGAATTTAAAAACAAATTAAATTATTTTTCAGTCATTTTGATTGGTAGTTTTCACAACCCAGAAATAATCTTTGAACAGATTTCTATACTATATGCCATGCCAAGGTAAATATTATATGCCCTTATTTCATGTGGTGGAGAGGGTTGGGGTGGACTGTCATGTATGGGGGGCGGGGGTGGGTGGTCATATGGGGTGGACTGTCATGTGTGGGGGGTGGGGGTGGATGGTCATGTGGGGGTGGGGCTGTCATGTGTGGAGGGGTGGGGGTGGACTATCATGTGTGGAGAGGATTGGGATGGACTGTCATGTATGGTGGGGTGGACGGTCATGTGGAGTTGGGATGTCATGTGTGGAGGGGTGAGGGTGGACTGTCATGTGTGGAGAGGCAGGGGTGGACTGTTGTGTATGGGAGGGGAGTGGACGGTCATGTGGGTGGAAGGGCAGGGGTGGACTGTCGTGTGTGTGTGTTGGGGGGCGGGACTGTCATGTGTGAAGGGGTTGGAGTGGACTGTCGTGTGTTGGTGTGTGTGGGGGGGGGGGGGTGACTGTCATGTGTGAAGGGGTGGGAGTGGACTGTCGTGTGTGTGTGTGGGTGGGGGTTTCGGTGGTTGACAGGCATGTGTGGAGGGATGGGGGTGGACGGTCAGGTGGTCAGGTGATATACCACAAGGTCTGTTATTGAGTCAGAGCCATTGTGGCTGAGTGGATAAGATGCTGGGTTGCTAGTTACTTTAGTAACTACTGGCCTGCTAGCCTGGAGGTCGCATGTTAGTTACCTCCATTGGCCGAGAAAGTTCGTCGGGATTTTTCGGCATGGTTTCCCCTTGTCAGTGGTGCAGGACAGAGGGCCTGTCAAAGACAGCTGTCTAGTCATATGGATGATACGAAAAAACGAGGACCCATGTATACATTGGCGTGCACATAACAGATCCCTTGGCAGTTGGAATTTGATATAAGAGTAGTCCATAGTGCCGCTGCCCATGAAATATTTCCCTCATAATACACTATATGGCGTATGCCCGTCTTCATTAGCCCAGTCGGAGCAGAACAGGAGGACGTTAAACCCCATTTCGTTTCATTTTTATTTACATATATTATTTTTTTTTTATTTTGTAGATATTTAGCGAAATCTTTTCATTTCATCCTTCCATATTTTCCTACGGGTACGATGGAGAGAGTTGATAAAGAAGGTCAAATAGCCACAGCAATGGTCAGTATATTATCTAGTAAATATCTTCCTTCGTCTAAGAACCCAAAAATGGGCACAGGTCACCATTAATTTTCCTTTTGACTTTAATGTTAATTCTACTCTCTTAATGTCCACTCGATTCAAGCTAGGTCATTTCGGGACTAACATATGGTTAAATCTTATTTCAATAACTCGCTTGCGTGTAGGGGGTCTTTAGTCGTGGGAGGAAACCGGAGGACCCGGAGAAAACCCACGAGGTTGGACAGGCGACCCTACTCCTTGTCACGTACAACCGGGGATTCGAAACCACGCCAGTTGACTCAATGATAGGGTGGCCCATGTACTCACAGAAATACAGTCCACCGCTGATAGTTCGAGACTACCACTGAAGCGTGCACATTCGCCGTGCCGAGACCAACTTTCTGACAGTATGATACTATAAATAGCCATGGCACGTGCAATTCTCTACAATTCTATCAACTATTACAGCCGTAAAAAATTTATTGTTGACGATTTTGAATAGCAGTAAAATTAAGCTTATTGGTTATTACAGCAGATTTAGAAATTACGTTCGTTTCATTTTTTAAATCGCTTTATCATTAACTGTACCGTTAAGAGTGGCATCTTTTGGTTTAGTACAAATAATATCTCTGAAACACTCAGGTTAGGCAAGAACATGATACTAGCAGTAGTTTCATTTTACTTTTACAAGCTTCTTAAAACGATTGTTGAGCTACCTAACGTGCTTATTTCTAAATTCAATTTCTTGTTCTAGCTTTCTGTTATGTTTCGTAAAAAAGTAGTCTTGATTATCCCGACCTGTCAATCAGACGTAGAATGGTTGATAGACTGGTTAAGCGAGACTAATTTCAAAACAAGGGCATGTAATCTATCTTTTACTCAAAAGTGTCTGGATGTTATGGACGACTCTTGGAACCAGTTTTCAGTCTATTATTTATACGTGATTAATGGTCATAGCTTATTAAGTACAACATGATCGTTTATTTAGTGACTATAATTGTGTGGAACTGATTTGAGGCTTGGCATATATATAAATATTGTGGCGTAATTGTCGAGATATATGGAGATATTTATTTATGGTGGGTCACCTTATCAATGACAGGTCTTATGATACAGCGCGCACATGCTAACCGCTGATTGATTAATCAATGTCTGACGTAATTGGGTCAAAAGATGCTCGTATGACCCCAGACACAACCTCCCAGTACAACTAGTCAGATCTTCATGTAGTAGAAATGAAATGAAAATAATGTTTATTTATAATATATTAATTTAAAAATTTCTCCTGCTTTTTTTAAATTGCAAAGTATTCGATCAGATCCTCCAAACTAATTTTAGGTAACATATTTACGTGGTATCCAGTCGCTCTGTTGGGATTGTGCTTTCTATATTTCAGACTTTATTATTGTGTTTTCTATATATCAGACTCGATTATTGTGTTTTCTATATTTCAGACTTTATTATTGTGTTTTCTATATTTCAGACTTTATTATTGTGTTTACTATATTTCAGACTTTATTATTGTATTTTCTATATTTCAGACTTTATTATTGTGTTTTCTATATTTCAGACTCTATTATTGTGTTTTCTATATTTCAGACTTTATTATTGTGTTTTCTATATTTCAGACTTTATTATTGTGTTTTCTATATTTCAGACTCTATTATTGTGTTTTCTATATTTCAGACTTTATTATTGTGTTTTCTATATTTCAGACTCTATTATTGTGTTTTCTATATTTCAGACTCTATTATTGTGTTTTCTATATTTCAGACTTTATTATTGTGTTTTCTATATTTCAGACTTTATTATTGTGTTTTCTATATTTCAGACTCTATTATTGTGTTTTCTATATTTCAGACTCTATTATTGTGTTTTCTATATTTCAGACTCTAGCTAAGATGTTATCTAATATTCCACTAACAACAAAAGGACCAGCACAGATAATGATACTCGATATACATTCCTTATCAGAACGATTTTATTTCTCAGAAAACGTTATTCCAAGGTATGGTTGAAAAAGCGGGGAATCGAATTGACGTGAAATGGGTACTATAAATGTCCAACTTTTCTTCACCAACTTGGCTAATGAAAATGGACATACAACATGCAGTCTGCTATGAGGGAAATTTTTACCGGACAGCAGCACTACTCTTATTTATAATTCTCCAAACTCGTGGGTTTTCTCCGGGTCCTCCGTTTTCCTCCCACTGCTAAAGACCCCTACGCGCAAGCGAATTATGGAAATAAAATTGAACCATATGATAGTCCTGAAATGACCTAGTTTGTGTCGAGTGGACGTTAAATCCCATTTCTCTCTCTCTCTCTCTCTCTCTCTCTCTTAGGGGATCACGGTGGCTAAGTGGGTAAGGCGCTGGCTCGCTAGCCTGGAGGTCGGGTGTTCGATCCCTGCATTGCCCGAGAAAGTTCATCCAGATTTTCCGGCGTGGTTCCCCCTTGTCAGTGATGCAGGACGGAGGGCCTGACAAGGACAGCTGTCTAGTCATTCGGATGAGACGAAAAACCGAGGTCCAGTGTACACATTGGCGTGCACGTAAAAGATCCCTTTACAGTTGGAATTTGATATAAGAGTAGGCCGTAGTGCCGCTGTCCGGGCAAAATTACCCTCATAGCACACTGTATGGCGTATGCCCGTCTTCATTAGCCCAGTTCGGAGCAAAACAGTAGGACGTTAAACCCCATTTCATTTCATTTCATTTCTCTCTCTCTTATTTATAATTCAAACTGTCAAGGGTTCTTTTACATAGCACATCTATAGGGGATCTCAGTTTTTGTACCATCCGAACAACTAGATAACCATTCTTTGTCCTGCACCACTGACAAGGGGATCCACACTGGAAAATTCTCAGGAACTTTCTCAGCCAACACCTTGATTGACCCCTCGACCTCCAGGTTAAATGTAAATGATTTTTTAATATTTGTGTAGTTATAGGATAACTCCAGTCGCTGTCATTTATTTCTAATGTTTCAACTGGAAATATAATCTTGTAATGTTTTCTTCATGTTTCAACAGGAAATATAATTTTGTTATATTTTGTTAAAACTGAAAATATCTTGTGGGAGCCACTGTGGCTCAGTGAGTAAGACGTTGAAAAAGTTCATCGGGATTTAGGGGGGTTGGATGGCCGAATGGTTAGCACGCTCGCGCTGTATCATACGGTCTTTCATTGAGTCAACTGGTGGGGTTATGATTCCCCGGTTGTACGGGACAAGGAGTAGGGTCGCCTGTCCAACCTCGTGGGTTTTCTCCGGGTCCTCCGGTTTCCTCCCACAGCTAAAGACCCCTACGCGCAAGCGAATTATTGAAATAAAATTGAACCATGTGTTAGTCCCGAAATGACCTGCTTTGTGTCGAGTGGACGTTAAACCCATTTCTCTCTCTTATCTGGATTATCCAGCGTGGACTCCAGCGTGGACATATAATCTTGTAATGTTTGGTTTGTTGAATACAATCTGATTAAACTACAGATCTATATTTCGTTTCGTTTCGTTTCGATGGCTTACACTACATGAAGATCTGACAAGTTGTAGTGGGAGATCGCGTCAGGGGTCATACAAGCGGCTTTTGACCCTATGACATCAGACATTTGATTAACCAATCAGCGTTGATGTTTCTAGTGGAATACCCACAGATCCGTGCGTGCATCGCATGCCAGGAACTTGCTACAACAGACCGTTTCATTGGCTGATCCCTCACATGAACCAGAACGCGGGTTATATAACAACTCTTCCAGAGCCTATTGTAGTAAAGACAAGTAAAACCCACCGTAACAGACGGCTTCATTGGCCAATCCCTCACATGAACCAGAACGCAGGTTATATAACAACTCTTCCAGATCCTAGTGTAGTAAAGACAAGTAAAACAAAATTTTGAACTATAAAAAACAAAACCAAATAGGATCTGTGTTTTAACCCTTTCACTGCGTATACCCGGTAGTACCGGGTATAATAAAATGTCGGTAAAATGCGCGTACCCGGTATTACCGTGTACTCAGTAAAGCCCTCGCTAAAATTAGTATTAGTGTATTTTCTATACACTAGAACATATTTCCACGTGTTTCAAAGCGGCAAACCGTAAAATGGCAGAGTGCATAGTGACAACGTAGACGATGACTCTCGACGAAGTCGTGAATGACGTCTTGCTGACCAACAAGTGGACAATTTCGAGGCAGGCGGGTGATACACATAATTCGTTTCCAGTTACTTGATAATGATAGTAGTCAGGACAGTGATTGGTATTATGAAGTGTGTGATTTGTTGCGCGACGTTCTGCCCATGGCTAGCTATGTCTCCCGTGCATGATGAACAAGCCCAATGTGAACACGATAGCCCTATGTCTGCAGTAGATTCTGACAATAATTCTGATGTTGATAATAATGCTGGCCTGCTGGATCGTAAAAGACGTAGGCAATTCCTGAGTCCCGAACGTGTAGATCTATTGACTGACTATATTGAAAATGATATGGGACTTGGGGATGAAAGTGAAAGTAAAAACAAGGTATTGCAATCCGCACGTGGTCATGGCAGCGGGAGACGTGATGCGCGTGTTCGTGACGGCATTGCTCATGGCTGCTATTGATATTTTTGTTCATTTTATATATCTTTATCAAAATCCAGTGAAAAAAACAATATCTTTTAAGTATTTCATGGAGAAAAATTCGTTTTTGTGTTAGCTTTAGTGAGTAATGAGAAATCCAAAATGGCCGCCATGACGTCACGTGACTACATTATTATGCAAATTTCCAAAATTCTATTTTTTCCTCTTAGCCCAACCTCATGCCCACCCCAACAGACAAAAAGATTTTTCATAAAAGCTTCCATAAGTACTGCTTGGCGTTCAGTTCCAACCTCCCTTTTTTCCTCAAAAAACGGTCTAGCACAGGCAGTGGATTTACGTCTAGCATTGAAAGGGTTAACCAGATTGGTGGAAATATAATTCTGTAATGTTTGTGTTTTTTTTCTTTAACCAGATTAGAAACAGCTGTACCTCTGTTGAAGAAAGTTTTAGAAAATAGAAAAGATTTAACAATAGCATTTCCTGATGATGGGGCCCACAAACGATTTCATTCACAGTTTCCAGATAAAGATTTGATTATTTGCAATAAAATAAGAGATCAGGATAAAAGAATTGTTCAAGTGAAAGAAGGTAGGTTAATAATCAGGTGGCCGCAAAGCCCTGCTTAGGCATGGGCCTGAGGGGCCGAGGCCCAGGGCCCTGTTGTTTAGAGAAAAAAATCAAATTCTAGATGAAAGTTTCACGGTAATCGATCTAGCGGTGCGAGGGCGGAGACTGGGCTATCCCTCAACCTTCTCTGTGAATTTATATGGCATTTTCGCACATAGTATGCCATTCAGAACTGAATAGATTTCGTATGTGATCAGATATTTTGTAATTATTCTTGTATTACAGACCGTTTAATGATGTGTTACGCATGCATGCCATTTAAAAGGATATGAAATAATATTTTCGTCGCATTAGAGGCCCCGCGATTCTAGTCAGGCCCAGGGCCCTGCTCCGGTTAAGCTGGACTTTAGGTGGCCGAATGATTTAACGACAATGCTTTAGATCGTAAGGTCTGTCAATGAGTCAAGTGAAGGAAGGTACGTTAATAATCGAGTGGCCGAATGATTTAACGACAATGCTTTAGATCGTAAGGTCTGTCATTGAATCAAGTGAAGGAAGGTATGTTAATAATCGGGTGGCCGAATGGTTTAATGAGTATGCTTTAGATCGTAAGGTCTGACATTGAGTCAAGTGGCATGGTTTCGATTCTCAGCTTGTACCTGCCTAAGAGTACATTAGATGTACATTGGCATCTAAATATTAATTAGATTGTGAATTCAGAGACTTAATTCATATTCCAGGTAATCTTTCAGGTAAATGTGTTGTTATTGTTGTTTATATTCCAGGTAATCTTTCAGGTAAACATTTTGTTATTGTTGTTTAGATTCCAGGTAAACATGTTGATATTGTTTTTTAGATTCCAGGTAAAGATGTTTAAATTCCAGGTAATCTTTCAGGTGAACATGTTGTCATTGTTGTTTATATTTCAGGTAAACATGTTATTGTTGTTTATATTTCAGGTAATCCTGCAGGTAAACATGTTGTTATTGTTGATGATTTGGTACAAACAGGTGGAACTCTAATAGAATGTGGCAAGGTAGATTTTCTCCAGGTCCTCCCACTGCTAAAGACCTTTACGAGCAAGCTCATTATTGAAATAAAATTGAACCATATGTTCATCCCGAAATGACCTAGTTTGTGTCAAGTGGTTGTTAAATAAACCCTCTCTTTCTCTCACGTGACAAGGAGTAGGGTCGCCTGTCCAACCTCGTGGGTTTTCTTTGGTTCCCCCGGTTTCCTCCCACTGCTAACTATTGAAATAAAATTAAACCATGTTATGTTAGTCCCGAAATGACCTAGTTTGTGTCAGTGGACATTAAACTCTCTCTCTCTCTCTCTCTCTCTCTCTCTCTGAGAACATAGATGGTATTGTCTATATAGTTGTTCTTCACTGATCTTAAATCTTGCTGGAAAACAATTTTATTCATATTAACATATTATGATTGTTATTAATATTGTTATTATTTTTTTGTGAATCTTAAGGGTACTTACATGGTCTCCGCCTCCTCCCCCCTCCCCCTTCTTGAATCCATGCTGATTTTGTACCATGTTTCTACAACTATATAGGTAGTTATATCTAGCCTGAAAATTAAAATGTAATTTTGAAATCTTAGTCTGGCAATTAGTCTATGTCCTCTGCTTTCCTCCCACTGTTAAAAACCCTTATGCGCAAGCGAATTACAGTAGAATCTGCATTAAGCAGCCACCCAAGGGAATTTTCACAACTGACCGCTTAACGGGAGTGGCCTCTTAATAAAATCTCGTTGCTTTTTGTGCCGACATAAATTAAATATTACGCTTGGATGCATTGGAAGCGGTAAATTTGGCCGTCGCTGAATCTTGCGCCGACCGAAAATTCTTTACTCAAATCTCGGACATAACTTAACGGGAGTGGCCTCTTAATAAAATCTCATTGCTTTTTGTGCCGACATAAATTAAATATTACGCTTGGATGCATTGGAAGCGGTAAATTTGGCCGTCGCTGAATCTTGCGCCGAACGAAAATTCTTTGCTCAAATCTCGGACATAACTTAACGAGAGTAGCCTCTTAATAAAATCTCGTTACTTTTTGTGCCGACATAAATTAAATATTACGCTTGAATGCATTGGAAGCGGTAAATTTGGCCGTCACTGAATCTTGCGCCGAACGAAAATACTTTACTCAAATCTCGGTCATAACTTCTGTAAACTTGTCATTTTATACCAACCTTCGATACTACTGTCTACCATTGTGATGCATTCGATAATATTTATCCATTTTTGTGAAGAAAATCGATGAATTCAATTTTTTTTATCAAAAAAGCACATGAACAAAAAACATCGCTAATTTTATCACCTATTTACAGGGGGTGTAACTCTGTATGTAATGTTATAGGAGGCGCTAAGAGAGATACTAGATGATCGTGACAAAACTCAGTACTTTTATTTTATTCAATCAGTATCAAATAATGTGTCGTTACGCGTGAAAACAATGATCAGGTTAGTCGTTAAATAAAACAAAAGATTAATTAACAGATAATCCCGGGTTGATTGTTATTTTTACATTTCTTTTTACCTGATCAGTGGAGGTCCAGTTAATTAACTACTACTCACGGGATTAGCGGGGGTGTTACAAAGAACGACAAGATGGTATCATTCAACAATGGCCGTTGAATGGGCGATGCTTTGTTGAATTTATTAGTAAAATAGTGACCGCTGGCCGCGTTAGAGGAGTGACCGTTGAATAAAGTGATGAAACAACAGAATTTCTATGGGGGTAATTTATCGTGACTGCTTACAAGGAGATGTCGCTGAATAGGAGTGGCTGCTCATACAGATTCTACTGTATTGAAATAAACCATATGTTGGTCCCGAAATGAGCCAGTTTGTATCAAGTGGACGTTAAAGTCCATTTCTCTCCACACTGTGGATGCTGAAGAGTTATTGCCCCTGTCGGTATTGTTTATTTACATGAAATGAAATTGGGTTGAGCCTGTTATTTTTCTGCACCTTGCAGGCTAATGAAGACACTACCCTGGACTGGAAATTATTTGATGGAACTCCCTTTTTATACGACCACGTCGGTCCAGCGTCCACAATTGCTTGTGGACGCTCTAAAGGCTAAAGTTAATATCCGATTGACTTTAAATTTATACACAGTGTTTAAGGTCTTCAGACAAACAAGTAAATTGATTTTCAATGAATTTTTATGACTTGAACAGCTAAATCCATGATATTAAAAGTTTTGTATACAAGACGTTAGCATGGGGCAGAACTTTATAAAAACCAAACAAATTCTAATGGTTTTCTGATATTTACTTCAAGAGTTGTTACTCTATTACTCTTAATCAGATTTTAGTGTATTATAAATGTTTCATTACCGAAAAAAGTAAAAATATGCGACAACTCTTGTTGACTGCCCGGACGATTTAGCTGCTGTGGGCGTATGTTTCGTTGCCTGGCAACCTATCTTTATAAAATAATTAAACATATTTTATGCAACTGTTTAACTGTTAATGTCTTACTGTTCTGCTCCGTCTGGTCTAATGAAGACAGACCAAAAGGGAATATTTCATTAAGCATACATTATGCAAGAGCTAAATTTGCCTATTGCAGGTCTTTCTTTAGGCCTGACATGTTATCTAAATTATTAATCGGACATTAATTAACTTATCCAGACCATAATGAACTCTCGATGCCATCGCTAGGGTGCGACATTCAGCGGATCGGAATAAATTTTTTGAAAAATAATTAAATGTAAAAATGGATAATCAAGTAATGATGATTAAGGCTAGACCTAAAATTCAAAAGCTAATATCTCGGCGGAGCATTTTGACTGAAATTTTCCGCATATTCTATTTACATTATCTATATTTTAACTATTATAGCGAGAACTGTCAACTCTTTATATAATCTTCCATAATGCCCCTTTAATTTTAATTTCAGGCATTATTAGAAAAAGGAGCAACAGGGGTCAGCGCTTATGTCACTCATGCTGTATTTCCCAAAGATTCGTGGAAAAAGTTTACCAAAAGTAACAGTGAGGAGGGAAAGGTTCAGTTTGAATCGTTCTGGATAACAGACTCGATACCACATGCATCAGAGATAGCCAAACATGAACCCTTTCAATTATTATCTATATGTGATATCATAGCAGAATCGTTGCTAGGTTACGATTTGTTACCATAAATTCGCCATATCTATATGTGATGTCATAGCACTCATTGCTAGGTTAGGATTTGTTACCATAAATTCACTATTAATTATTATTTATATGTGATGTCATAGCAATCTTTGATAGGTTACGCTTTTTTTACAATAAATTCACCATTAATTATTACCTATTGTTGCTAGGTTAAGATTTGTTACCATAAATTCACCATCAATTTTTATCTATATGTGATGTCAAACCAGAATGGTTGCTGGGTTATGATTTATTACCATAAGTTTGCTATTATTGCTTTTTTTTTTTAATTTAAGACCAAGAACTCTGTTTCGAATTAATTAATTTAAGACCAAGAACTCTAATTAATTAATTTAAGACATAGATACATTTTAGGGTGCTTCATCTAATCCATCTATGGTAAAGAATCAGTTTTTACTGCTAATCAGTTTCTAATATGAACTGAAAACTTGTCAGGTTTGAAGCGGTGGATTTACATGTACTAGCCGTTTGATTTTACCGGTGCCAAATGAATCGTTGCCAAAATTTGCCTAGTGTGTCCGCTGTCATTTGGCCGAATTATATTTGCCTAGTGTATCCACATCGCCGAAGCATTCGAGAAGTCACATTATTGTTCGAAGACATGGTCGCTGCCATGTTTAATCATGTGAAGTCGACTGGTGTCCACTCATTCGGCTGCAGTTCTCGGCACCGATTCGAAGACATGGTCGCTGCCATGTTTAATCATGTGACGTCGACTGGTGTCCACTCATTCGGCTGCAATTCTCGGCACCGATTCATTCAGCCGAATCATTCACCTAGTGTGATTTCAATGTTGAAGACTTTGGATGATATTGAGTTAGCTACTTTAAAACCAAACAAACTTTTACTGCATTTAAATCAAACTTGAAAATTTTCTATTAAAGGATATTAAGATTATTATTTAGTTAATTTGTGTTGAGTCATTTGATGTGTGTTTTCACTTAGAGCATGTCTCTATGGCAGGGACGGACTTGGGGAGGTGGGGCGGTGGCTTGTCCAGAAGGGTTTCCTCCCCAAATGGTGCAATAAAAAATTGTTGTGAAGCATAGCCAGTTCGTGAAAAACGACATAGGTTTAAGACTAAAAAGGGCCCAGAAACTCTGGGGTGTTGAATGGTCGATTGGTTAGCACATGTGCGCTGTTTCATGAGGTCTGCCATTGAGTCAACTGGCATGGATTTGATTCCCCGGTCGAACGTGACAAGGAGTAGTGTCGTGGGTTTTCTCCGGGTACTCCGGTTTCCACCCACTGCTATAAGACCCCTACGCGCAAGCGAATTATTGAAATAAAATTGAACCACGTGTTAGTCCTGAAATGACCTAGTTTGTGTCGAGTGGACATAATAGCCCATCTCTCATACTCCCAGTCCTTCCCTGTCTGATGTGACATAGATTAGGGTTCCGCGATCATAACAAGTGTATCTAGATTTCTGATCACCTATATCACAGATGATCACTCATTCCATTGTATCAACTAAAAACTTTTAAACTTATATTATGCAAGAGCTAAATCTGTCTATTGCAGGTCTTTCTTTAGGCCTGAATTGTTCTCTAAATTATTATAATTAGACATTAATTAACTTATCCAGGCCATAATCAACTCTTGATGGCATCGGATTTCTCCGATATTAAATAGATTGAAACAGTTCAGCCATATTTTGATTTAAGCTAAAAATGGAGAAGCGAGATTTGGCTTCGAACAACCAGTACGTTGGTTGAAATTATTACACACGTCTTGTCAAGCCTTCAAAGGCTAATATCTTCGCTCGCAATAGAGTAATTTGAAAGAAATTTTCAAATTATTCATTTGACATTATCTAATTTCGAACTATTATAGCAAGAATGGCTAGCTCTTTATCTAAAGCTTACATAATTTATCTTGAAATGAGTTTAATCTAAGGGATAGCTTATTCTCTGAACGGAGTTGAATCATGCTGAGACTGATAGATATAAGTGATATTTAATTCTCAGAACAGAGTTGAATCGTGCGGAGACTGATAGATCTAAGATAGTTAATTCTCTGAACATAGTTGAATCATGTTGATAGTGATAGATCTAAGTGATAGTTATATCTCAGAACAGAGTTGAATCATGTTGAGACAGATAGAATAAACCATAAGATTTTGAAATTAATTCAAACCTCTTTGGTAACCAATGTAGGTCTACTGAAATGACGAAGCCTTAGGCACTTTTTAAAGTGCATCACCTGCAAGAGGAAGAACAAGATAAGTATTGCTTACGGACCAGTTCCTCTTCATTATTCATCATTGTCACATTTTCAGTATTTATATATGTATTAATATAAGTTAACAGGGTTGTTTTATATAAGTCAATAGGGTTGTACAATAAGTTGTTTTATATAAGTCAACAGGGTTGTACAATAAGTTGTTTTATATAAGTCAACAGGGTTGTACAATAAGTTGTTTTATATAAGTCAATAGGGTTGTACAAAAAGTTGTTTTGTTATGTTTAGATGAAGTCATTGTTAAAATAAAATCTTTAGTAAAAGGTGTTTTGTTCAATGGCTCGTACTTCCAGCATTTTAAGACCAACAGGGCGTTCGTTTTTTATCGTTAACGGTGTGTGTGTGTGTGGGGGGGGGGGGGGAGGGGGTCGAATGGTTAGCGCGTGCACGCTGTATAATAAGGTCTATCATTGAGTCAACTGGCGTGGTTTCGATTCCACTCTTGTCGCCTGTCCAACCTCGTGGGTTTTCTTCTGGTTTTCCGGTTTCCTCTCTCTCTCTACTTACCAGTGTAATGTGAGGCACGAGAATTTCGTTTGGACATCTGGTAAAGGCTAAAATCCAAGAACCATTGCAGATTTCGTCCAAGGTCATGAGATGTAAATAGGGTTAGGGCACGTGATTGTTGATGAGATTTCCGGGTTAGGATAAAAATTAGGTTTAAGAATTTTGGGGAGAGGTTAGGTCTCCACATAAGCACTGACCTAGGATGATGAAAAGTTAGTTCGCGATATTTCCTAGTTTTATTAAAAATACATACAATACATTAGATTAATTTACAAAAGTGATTTCACAGTTTTTGGTGTTGGTGGCGTTGATGGTCTTCCTTGGATGGTACTTCTGGTATTCTGGTATTTTTGTTTCTGAAGAAGAAAAAGAATAAATTTGAGGCTCTCGGGGGAGAGCCACATTAGTGTGTTTCCTACTACGAATTGAATTTTTTCTAAAAAAAAACGTGTTTGTTCCACATCACCGGGTTAGGGCTAGGGATTCTTATATCTAGTTGATTTTATTTACTAACGGTTAGGGATATGATTTGATATATGGTTTGCTTTGGGTTAGGGTGGAGACTGGTCTTATTTAATCTAATTTACTGTGCACTAGGATATCGTTCAAATTTTTATTTTTAGAATATGCAATTATAAGTTTCTGTGTGAATATTTTCGGATGATTTTCTTGGAGATCAGTATAGTGTTTCCTGATGATTTTGGATGCACTTGCTGCTGTTGCGCTAAATGGAACTACAAAAGGGGCTATTGCGCTAGCCGTATGAATATTCAAACCTAGGGGAGCTGTTGTTTTCAATTTGTCAATCCAGAATTTTTCTCTTGTTAGCCTAAACGTTTTAATTTCTTCTGTAGTATCAAAGTCCCTCTTGGTCTTTTCTATTGGCGTGACAATGAGATCAGAAATGTCATGATTTGGTTGGTTGAAATGAATTGAGACCGGTTTGTCTTTTTTGGTGACTATGTCTGATCGGTGACCGTTAATTCTTTCCCTAAGTGCATTTTGAGTCTCCCCTACGTATTGCTTGTCACATTGTCTGCATGAAATTAGATAAATTATATTTGAACTACTGCATGAAAGTTGGTCTAATATTGGGAATTGTGTGCCAGATGTTTTGTTATGGAAATGGTCGGATATGTTTAAGATTTTGCATGTTTGGCATCTTGGATGGCCACAAGTTTTGGTTGTAACTGCTGATTGCATATTATTTGTTTCTTTGGCGGCAAGTTCAGCTAGAGTGTTGTTTTCAATACGACGTAGATAGCGTTTGGAATATCCCCTTTCTCTTAGTTTGCTAAATACCTGCGTACACGCTGACTCAAAGTCGGTCTTTTGAGTACATATCCTATGAAAACGGAGAATCTGTGATTTTATGATGCCAGAGAAGGTATGTCTGGGGTGAAAGGAACACTTGAACAATAATTGATGTGTATCGGTTTCTTTGAAAAATACTTTAGTTTCCAGTTGGCCGGTGTTTTTGGTGTTGCTACTTTTAAAAACGGTGGTGTCAAGAAAATCTATGCTGTTATGACTTACATTTGCGGTTAATTCGACAGATGGATGATGATTGTTCAGAATGTTGAAAAACGTCCAAAATTCGTCTAGTGTGTACGTCCAGACTGAAAACGTCATCTAGAAAGCGCCCATAGAAATCCGGTTTTAATGGGCAGAGCGGCAGAACTTCCCTTTCCCACTCCGCCATGAAGAGGTTTGCATAACTCGGGGCAAATCGTTTTACCATCGCAGTTCCGGAAGACTGGAGGTATACTTGTTCGTTGAAAGCGAAGTCATTCCTCCTCAGACAAATGTCGAGTAGTTTGAGGATTTCTTCGTCCGGCCTGGATACTTGCGGGTTCCTAAGAAATGCTTTCCTAACTGCTTCAATACCCGTGTTATTATCGATGTTCGTGTACATGCTCTGTACGTCGATGGATATTAAAATGGTGTGTTCGGGAACTCCTAACTGTTTGATTTTGTGAATGAAATCGTTAGTGTCTTTAAGGTAGGATGGGTGTTGGCATGCTAGGGGTAATAAGAAATGGTCTATATATTGCGATACGTTGTATGATTCGCTGCCACAGTCTGATATTTGATTTTTATGTATTTTTGGTAGTGTATAGAGATGTCTTTGTCGGCAATCAGATTTAGCAGATAGGTAATCATATTGTTTTGCTGTTATGTATTCCTTGTCTTGCAATTCATGTAAGATGTTGTTTATTAAAGTCGCGGTGTCCTTAAAGATGGGTTGGTCTAATTTAGTGTAATGTATAGGATTACTTAATTGTTTTTCTGCCTCTGAGATATAGTCTGCGCGATTCATTATGACACAACATGAGCCCTTGTCGCTTTTCTTAATTATTAATTTTTTGTCTTTTTGAGGGCGTTTAATGCTGTTTTAGTTGCTCGGTTGAGATTTGGTTTTTGTGATTGTGGTTGAAGGGATGATATTTCTGTGTTCATTTCGTCGAAAGTTTTTAGGATGGCTGGTGATAATGACTTTTTAGGTGGTTTCCATGTGGATTTTTCTGTGAATAATTTTTTACCACTGCCGGGTTTGTTCCTGAAAAAATACGTCAACGAAAGTGTTCTTCGGAAGCGATCGGTTGCCTGGGTGATGGGGTCTATGGATGTTATTGTGGGGGTTATGATGAATTTAAGGCCTTTATCAAGAATGTTCATTTCTAGGGGGCTGAGAAGTTTGTCGCTCAAATTGACAACTGTTTGTCCTAAAGACGGCTTCTCATTCCTTTTCCCTAATCCTAGTTTAAATTCCTCATCCAGCAGTTGATGATCTCTCTGGTCGTGTCTGGGCTCCAATGGATTGCGTCGTTACCCTTCAGTTCTATTTTGCCCTTGAAGGTTGGTAATGTTGTGGCGTTTGGTGAAGGTGTCGTGGAGATCAACTGGTTGTAGCTGGTGATGTTTTGGTAGGCGATCGGATTTTCTTGTCGGAGTCGGGAAGAAGTGGGGATCTGTGTGGCGAAGAGCTTGGTTGTTGGGAAAGCTGCTCTGGTCACCTTGGGTAGATCTAGCATCTGCTCGTGTATCCTTGGTCCACTTTCCTCCCTGTTGTTGAACCCGACGTGTATCACAAATTCCTCTGGTGCAGGACCCATGTAGTTCTGGAGGATCTGTTTGATGTGGCTGATCTTGGCTCCAAAAAAGCTGTTCTCTGTAATATATGTGAATGTAAGACCTAAATGCAAGTTAAACTAATATATATGTAGTTATGTTCTTTGTCAGATATTCGGCGATGCAAAGACAAAGAATGTGGAATTAAATGGCGGATTGATTAAGGCTTGTGCTCAAGCGTTTATAGTAATTTCCCTGAATTGTAACCCTAACCATAACTCATGCACTAACCCTATTTACATCTCATAACCTATGACGAAAACTGTAATCGCTCTTGCCGCCTACCGGTCCTTTTCTTCTATACTAAGCGGGGGATCACGTGGCTAAGTGGGTAAGACGCTGGCTCGCTAGCCTGGAGATCGGGTGTTCGATCCCTACATTGGCCGATAAAGTTCATCCTGATTTTCCGGCTTGGTTCCCCCTTGTCAGTCATGCAGGACGGAGGGCCTGACAAGGACAGCTGTCTAGTCCTTCGGATGAGACGAAAATCCGAGGTCCCGTGTATACATTGGAATGCACGTAAAAGATCCCTTGGCAGTTGGAATTCGATATAAGAGTAGGCAATAGTGCCGCTGCCCGGGCAAAATTTCCTTCATAGCACACTGTATGGCGTATGCTCGTCTTCATTAGCCCAGCATAGGAGCAGAAAAGTAGGACGTTAAACCCCATTTCATTTCATTTCAATTCATTTCTATACTAAGCAGCAAAAGAAACGTCAGGTTGGTATGTTACTCTGAATAGACGCATTGCACAAAACTTGACAAATGTTTTATTGTATATTTGTGACCACATCTTCAACTTTACCTGAGCAATAAGGCTCCTTCCCAAAGACAGAATTGAACCCAGGAAATGTTCTAAAAAACGCAACCTGACTTCTGAGATGGTAATGTAACTCATGCTGCACGTGCTGTTCACCGGGACTAGCCCTAAAAAATGCACCCCCATACCTGGTTGAATCATTCACACTACAACCTCAGCAGCATGCCACGACTCATGACAGCTCAGAGGAACCAAGCGCTTGGAAGTCGCGACGCTGCCCACACTACCCAAGCCGTTCCCTATCACTTCCCTCATAGCACACTGTATGACGTATGCCCGTCTTCATTAGCCCAGTAGGAGCAGAACAGTAGGACGTTAAACCCCATTTCATTTCATTTTTATTAAATAACCTCTTTATGATTGCTACTATAAATATGCTAATATACAAAATAAACATGGATGAGGATATGAAATCATATACAAAAACAATCTGATTATACATACATTATGACGTCACATTAATAATGATGTCATTGTATTAATCAATCACGCTGACACTCGTCTCGAAATACCGCAATAAAAAATACTAATTTCTCGTTCTTTTAAAGATCTTCAAACGTTAAAAATATTTTGTTGTTTTCGATATCCGAATAACATTTTCTTTCATAAATCATTTACCAGCAACTCGAGACTCAAAAATTTTAGATTTGCAGGTAAGCAAGAGACCGTCTATTGAAAATATTTTGAAAAATGAACGCAAGCGCGTGACCAAATAACGACTTTTTAAAATGGGTGTAAAAATGTTTTCTAAATAGTTCCGAAGAAAATCTCCAAATATTTGTGCTACAATATCGATAAACACATTCCTGTTACGTATTTATCGGGTGTTTATTGTCCATTTAACCATGCTTGAATTATCCATTAGAACAACTCGACGCTATCGCGTCTCGTGTTCTAATGATTCAAGCATGGTTAAATGGACAATAAACCCCCTCTAAATACGTAACAGGAAGTGTTTATCTCCTAATTAAACATACATTATGCAAGAGCAAAATCGGCCTATTGTAGGTCTTTCTTTAGGCCTGAAATGTTATATAAACTATTAATTAGACATTAATTAACTTATCCAGACCATAATCAACTCTAGATGGTTATGCTAGCCTGCGATATTTGTTGGATTATAGTCCGATTTGCTGCAAAACTTTCCTTCGTGATTAACGATTAAATGGATAATCAAGGCTATTAGTTTTGTCTTATCGACTTCAGTAATGATGATCGAGGCTAAGCGGAACTTTCATCCGCTTGGTTCTCGGTTGATAGTGGATCAATTTGACTGAAATTTTCAGCAAGTTGCCTTTACATTATGTAGTTTTTAACTATTATAGTGAGAACTGCCAACTCGTTATCTAATCTCCCATAATGTATCTTTAAGACACAGATACTATTTCGTTTCGTTTTTTATAGTTCAAAATTTCGTTTTACTTGTCTTTATTCGGCGATCGAAAGTATAAAAGTATATATTTCGTTTCGTTTTTTTATAGTTCAAACTTTCGTTTTACTTGTCTTTACTAGGCCATCGAAAGTATAAAAGTATATATTTCGTTTCGTTTTTTTATAGTTCAAAATTTCGTTTTACTTGTCTTTACTAGGCCATCGAAAGTATAAAAGTATATATTTCGTTTCGTTTTTTTATAGTTCAAAATTTCGTTTTTCTTGTCTTTACTAGGAAAACGAAAGTATAAAAGTATATATTTCGTTTCGTTTTTTTTATAGTTCAAAATTTCGTTTTACTTGTCTTTATTCGGCCATCGAAAGTATAAAAAAAACGAAACGAAATATAGATCTGTATTTTAATCAGATTGAAACAAATGTTAAAAATAGAAAACTAAAAAAATATACACGTCATACATTATACACGTCATACATTATATGGAGCCGCGTTGGTTCAGTGGGTAAGACGACGGTTCGCTAGCAGGGAGGTCTGCGGATCGAACGGCCCGTAGCCAGGGGGGGGGGGGGGGCTATGTGGGGGCGCAACAAAAAAAAATCGAATTAGCCGCCCCAAATATACATGTCATACATTATATGGAGCCGCGTTGGTTCAGTGGGTAAGACGACGGTTCGCTAGCTGGGAGGTCTGCGGATCGAACGGCCCGTAGCCAGGGAGGGGAGGGGAGGGGGGGGGGCTATGTGGGGGCGCAACAAAAAAAAATCGAATTAGCCGCCCCAAATATACATGTCATACATTATATGGAGCCGCGTTGGTTCAGTGGGTAAGACGACGGTTCGCTAGCTGGGAGGTCTGCGGATCGAACGGCCCGTAGCCAGGGAAGGGAGGGGGGGGGGCTATGTGGGGGCGCAACAAAAAAAAATCGAATTAGCCCCCCAAATATTTTGCCAACAATAATGATTTCTTAGGAGCGTTCTTAGCCAGCCACATCCTCAGCCCCTCCCAAAAATTCCGTAGCCCCACCAAATTTTAAGAGCTGGCTACGGGCCCGGGTTCGATCCTGGTGTTGATCAGGAAAATGTTCCCCGAGATTTTCCAGTGTCAATGGTGCAGGACCGTTCGGATGGGACGAAATACCTAGTACCCGTGTACACGTTGGCCTGCGTGTAAATGAACCCTTGACAGTTGGAATTTGATGTAAAAGCAGGTCGTGGGTGGCGGGGAAAATTTCCCTCCTAGCACTTGATAGCTTACACCGGTTTTCAGTAACCCATGATTAACAATTAAACCACACTATTAAGTGACAACTTAGCCTTGAAATAGGGCAACTGTCGCGGACGGAGCCCTTAACAGATTCAGGTTTTATCGCGATTTAACTACGTACATCTTATCAAGGCCTTCACGTAATACCCTTATTTCGATTGGGTACAAGCTCAGCTTGGGAGACTATCAGATTCCTCGATCGTCGCGAATACCAAGTCTCGCGCTTTCAAGCTAACATGTCGACCCGTGACAATCGAGTGGCAAAGTTCAAGGTTTATTCAATGTCAAGGTTTCCGTGGAAACCTCTGTTTGGACACTATTGCTCACGTGTCTGTAGATAACATAGCTATAGGTTCGGGAATTGTGAAGTAAACAAGCAACGGCCAGATGTTGTAAAACTCGCAGTCGTTGCTTCAGGAACATAGGTTTTGTCAGACTCATTCATGCCTGGAAATAGAGCAACTGCCACGGACAGTGTCGGGAACAAATTCCTGCTGGCTTTGTCACACTCATCTCGTCAATGTTTTCACTGATATTTTAAAATTTAAAATAAAGCGTCATACATTGTGTCATTCACCACTATGATCGGGAGAAGATACAGATACAGGCTCGCAAACCCGGAGGTCCCGTGTTCCCCATGTTCGATCCCGGCGTTGGCAGAGAAATTTTATCAAAGGATATAAAATGAGCAATCACATAATAAATGCAATGGGGTTTAACGTTCTACAGTTCTGCTCCGACTGAGCTTATAATGAAGACATGCTATGAGGTGAATTTTGCCCGGGCAGCGACACTATTGCCTACTCTTATATCGAATTCCAACTGCCAAGGTATATTTTACGTGCACGCCAATGTCTACACGGTTACTCGATCTTAGTCCCATCCGAACATCTAGACAGCTGTCCTTGTCAGGCCCTCCGTCCTGCACCACTGACAAGGGGAAAGCACGTCGGAAAATCCCGATGAACTTTCTCGGCCAATGTAGGGATCGAACACGCGACCCCCAGGATAGCGAACCAGCGTCTTACCTACTTAGCCATCGTGGCTCCGAATCACATAATAACTAATGCACGTGTGACGTATGGGTCATAACATTATATTAAAATTATTTTATAAATAATATTACATAAACATACACAGTATTATATACGCGATGAATCTCAGCACCAAAACATTCCCACGAACTTATAGCACAGAATGAAATGGCTTCACATATAGATAAAATCCAAAAAAAAGCCCCACAAAGTTATAACACAGAATGAAATGGCTTCACATATAGACCAAATCCAAAAACAGCCCCACAAAGTTATAGCACAGAAGGAAATGGCTTCACATATAGACCAAATCCCAAAACACCCGCACAAAGTTATAACACAGAAAGAAATGGCTTCACAGATAGATAAAATCCAAAAAATATTCCAACAAAGTTATTAGCTCAGAATGAAAAAAAAACAACCCCAAAACAGCCCCACAACGTTACAGTACAGAATCAATTGACTTTACACATGGATGTAATCCAAAAACAGTCATAGAAAGTTTCAGTACGGGATGAAATGGCTTCACAGATAGACGTAATCTAAATAGTCCATTGAGGTTAGCCGATCGCTGATCTCTGTAGAAAGTGTAGGCGCCATCGTACCGGCGGTTGAACGTCATTTTGATTAACCGCTTGATCCAGTATGGCCACAGATCACTAAAGATTTCCCCATTGACTGCAATGTTAATTCTCGTATCTTAGACCGGCTCTAACAGATGGAGCAACATGTGGCAACCACTTGCCCTAAAGCACGTATGAGGTTCTTCATGAAAAACTTGAGATACACAAGCTGGAAGTAGAGACAAGTAAACATACAATTTCAGGCCCTACATTTCAACCTAACCAACCTCTCAACTCTTGTATCCTTCCGCATCAAAATTATGAATATTCACCAAAACCTGGCAGAAAATGTATTTTCAAACCCTTTTCTTCGATTCTACACCAAAAAGTCAACAAAAATCGCCATGCAAAAGGGGGGAAAAGGAAAAGGGAGAGGAAGACTAAAAATAGCTTTGGCCCTTGTTTCGTGGGTTAGGAATATTTGGTGATCTGTGTCCATAAAATGTCTGTGGCGTTCATGCATTAAAGAGTTGTGGCTGGCCACTCGGCAAACCTCGGCAGATTCCGTTACTCTACATCTAGCTGTAGGGTACTGGAATCTGCTGAGTTTTGCCGGGTGGTGGCTGATTAAACGGTTTTCGATTAACCGCTGGATCCAGTATAAAATGTCTGTGGTGTTCTTGCATTAAAGAGCTGGGGCTGACTAAACGGTTTACGATTATCAAAGTCGCTTCTCTGATCGAAATTCTGTCGATTTTTGAAGCCTTTGCGATTATTGGCACCCTTTCGATGATCGAAGCCTTTGCGGTGATCAAAATCTGTTCTTTCATCAAAACTCTTGTTGCTGATCAGCTGTTCGTTTGGTTCTTTGATAGATCTTATAAAACAACACGTAATAATCAAACCAACAAACTGAAAAACAAAATAATCAATAATTGGTTGTATTCTTTGATTGACAGTTAGTAATCATCAATAATTGGTTGTATTCTTTGATTGACAGTTAGTAATCATCAATAATTGGTTGTATTCTTTGATTGACAGTTAGTAATCATCAATAATTAGTTGTCTTCTTTAGATGAGGATACTCTCGTATCTAGCATTTCAGAGAGAGAGAGAGAGAGAGAGAGAGAGAAAGAAAGAGGGAGAGGGGGGTAAAGTCCACTTGACAGAAACTAGGTCATTTCGGGACTAACACACGGACCAATTTTATTTCAATAATTCAATAGGGGTCTTTAGCAGTGGGAGGAAACCGGAGGACCCGGAGAAAACCCACGAGGTTGGACAAGCGACCCTACTCCTTGTCACGTACAACCGCGGAATCGAAACCACGCTACTGGACTCAATGACAGACCCTACCCCCTAATGTGAATGCGATATGGAACATTTTAGAAAGGCCTACTTACCTGGATACACACGATTATACCAGCTACAATAAGCAGCATTTTTACACGCTCGATTACCCAGGCCTCAATATCGTTATAACAGGACTGAAATAAATTGAAAAGAAACTTGACTATTTCATTTCTACATTCTTGATTTTGGGATATCGATTCAAAATGAAATGTGGTTTAACGTCCTACTGTTCTGCTCCGACTGGGCTAATGAAGACGGGCATACGTCATACAGTGTGCTATGAGGGAAATTGTGCCTGGACAGCGGTGGTACGACCTACTCTTATATCGAATTTCAACTGCAGAGAGATATCTGTCGTGCACGTCAATGTGTACACGGGACCTCGGTTTTGCGTCCCACCGAACGACTATACGTTGGTCTTGCCAGGCCCTCCGTCCTGCATCACTGACAAGGAGAAACCACGTCGGAAAATTCCGATGAACTTGTGCGCCAACGCATGGATCGAACACAGGACCCGCAGGTTAGCGGGCCAACGTCTTACTCACTGAGCCACCGTGGCTTCCAATTCCACTCCCAATTGTTAAATCTCTGATATATTTTAATTAATAATGGGAACTGCGGTGGCTCACTGAGTAAGTAACTGCCCCCCTTACAAGACAGTCGGTCGAGAAAGTTCATCAGGATTTTCCAGCGTGATTTCCACTTGTCAGCGGTGCTGTACGGAGTGTGTGGTAAGGGCCAATGTGTAGTCGTTCGGGTCGTATGAAGAATAAAGAGAGAGAGAGAAATGGGGTTTAACGTCCACGCGACACAAACTAGGTCATTTCGGGACTAACACATGGTTCAATTTTATTTCAATAATTCGCTTGCGCGTAGGGGTCTTTAGCAGTGGGAGGAAACCGGAGGACCCGGAGAAAACCCACGGTATGAAGAATAAAGCTAAGTCCCGAGTACACGTTGGTGTGCACGTAACAGAACCCTTGACAATTGGAATTCGATATAAAAGTAGGCCTATGTCCGTCTTTATTAGAATAGTAAGAGTTTAACAGGTAATCAGGGGGGTTGGATGGCCGAATGGTTAGCACGCGCGCGCTATATCATACGGTCTGTCATTGAGTCAACTGGCGGGGTTTCGATTCCCCGGTTGTACGTGGCAAGGAGTAGGGTCGCCTTCCAACCTCGTGGGTTTTCTCCGGGTGACCTAGCTTGTGTCGAGTGGACATTAAACCTCTCTCTCTCTCTCTCTCTCTCTCTCTCTCTCTCAACAGGTAATCGGTTTATCTTTTAACGTCTTACTGTTCTGCTCCGACTGGTTTAATGAAGACGGGCCTAAAGGGAATATTTCATTATTAAAAAATCATTATAAGCCGTACTAATACGCGATTTCACGATACTCTATGATAAATAAAAAAAACATGAAGGTGAACTTTCGTGTTTTATTAGTGAAAATTTTGAAGTGAAAACCCAGGCCCGGAGTTCACAAAGCATTCTCAGACTTAAGTGAAGAATTTTACGTCCCATAAGATCTATCTGGCCCTCCGCCATTAGTCCAATCAGTGCAGAACATTTTGCAATGTAAATGACGTGTTTTTCGGCAACAAATACCGTAAAAAATGGTTAACGGATAGCTGTTTTAGTGTACTTAATTTAAATCACCTGCCCCGTTCTCCTTCGCGACAGTTTATTACTTCACTCTATTGTCGAAGCAAGTTTCTTGTCAACAAATACCGTACGGTAACATGGGGTTAACGGGTAGACTGGCGGTATTGATGGACCTATTTTAAGTCACGTGACCCGTTCTCCTTCGAGACAGCTTATTTTTTCCCGTCTATTGTTGATGTGAGTTTGTTTTGAAGGATGGTGTCGGATAACAAGTCCAATTACATGGCCGACGAACTCTTCCATAAACCTAATTACATTGCCAACAAAGATGGGTGGTGCAAGTTTAAACCTTTTCATATTATTCCTCACACGTTTTCTGTTAAACGCTGGCCTTATGGAATCATTATACATACTCGATGTCTTTGTAAATATAGTCTATTCATATTCTACCTTTAAAGAGAGAGAGAGAGAGAGAGAGAAAGAAGAGAGAGAGAGAGAGAGAGAGGTTTAACGTCCAATCGCCACAAACTAGGTCATTTCGGGACTAACATATGGTTCAATTTTAATTCAATAATTCGCTTGCGCGTAGGGTTCTTTAGCAGTGGGAGGAAACCGGAGGACCCGGAGAAAACCCAAGAGGTTGGACAAGCGACCCTACTCCTTGTCACGTACAACCGGGGAATCGAAACCACGCCAGTTGACTCAATGACAGACCTTATGATGCAGCGCGCACACGTTAACCAGCCCCCACCTCCTCAGTTTTAAAGGTACAACAAGCACCCCAGTTAATCATACATTATGTAAGAGCTAACTCTTCCCATTGTAGGCCTTTCTTTAGGCCTTAAATCTTATCTAAATTATCAATTAGACATAAATTAACTTATCAAAACCATAATCAACTAAAGCCATCGTTAACCTGTGATATTTAGTGGATTTGAATACGTTTTTGTTAGAGATTATTTAATGTAAAAATGGATAATCGAGACTTAGTTTATTATCGTATCAACGGTACGAATGGCGATCGAGACTAGTCTAAAATTGAATCGCTACTATCTCGGTTCAGAGTGAAGAAAGTTGACTGAAATTTTTAGCATATTCTGTTTTCATTATCTTTTTTATATCATTATATAGCGAGAACTGTCAGCTCTTTATCTAATCTTAACAGTAAGTCGTAGCGCCGCTGTCCGGGCAAAATTCCCTTCATAGCACACTGTATGCCCGTCTAACATTTGTAGTACTACCGGACTTCTTTATTTGTTGTGTTTGTGATCGTAAATAACACTACAGTAATACTGATTTCCCAACTTTATTACTAAGTTGTACTTGCTTTTCAGGTTCCTCGTTCTCAATGGTAATGACTGGTAAGAATTTCTGGGTGAGCTCTAATCTAGCTCTCCTCTACACCCTAATTTATACCCCCTACTTTCCCAGGTCTTCAATAACCTTGACGTGAATTTCCACGCCATATAAGGAATAAAACTCTATATTTCCCACAAACAAGACAGGCAACATTACCTATTTTTGGTCAACCGACCATAGGTCAATAAACAGCTAGAATTTGATGACTATTTTGACAATGATTATAATTTAACTAAAACATCACTGTTTTTTACGAACAACTATAACCACGTTCATTTAGTACTTATGATTTGACTTTATAGACCAAATTGAAGAGACAATTTTATAAAGAGCCAAAATTGTCTCAAGGGCCACAGTGCTACACATTATCCAAGTCGGAGCAGAACAGTATCACCATGTGGTTCCTGTTTGCTATGGTAAGTCATTGAAGGTTTAATTACTTCTGTGCACCTACGCTAGCCTGGTGGTCGGGTGTTCGACCCCTGCATTGGCCGAGAAAGTTCATCCAGATTTTCTGGCGTGGTCCCCCCTTGTCAGTGATGCAGGACGGAGGGCCTGACAAGGACAGCTGTCTAGTCCTTCGGATGATACGAAAAACCGAGGTCCCGTGTATACATTGGAATGCACGGAAAAGATCCCTTGGCAGTTGGAATTCGATATAAGAGTAGGCCGTAGCGCCGCTGCCCGGGCAAAATTTCCCTCATAGCACACTGTATGGCGTTTGCCCGTCTTCATTAGCCCAGTATAGGAGCAGAACAGTAGGACGTTAAAAACCCCATTTCATTTCCTTTCATGATCTACCGCGCCCTTCTCTTTAAAATGACCTTTTTTATTTCATAATAATAAATAATAAATATATCTTAGGTACGTGTCACTATCTATACAAAAGTTTTAAAATATTAATATATACAGTTATATCAAAATAAAAAGTAGATGCAAGCATTTAAAGATACATTATGATAGATTAGATAAAGAGATGGCAGTTCTCACTATAATAGTTAAAAACTAGATAGTTTAAACGGGATTTGCTGAAAATGTCAGTCAAATTGATCCACTCCGAGATTTTAGCCATTGAATATTGGCGCTAGCCTCGATCATCATTACTAAAGTCGGTGGGATAAAAACATAGTCTCGATTACCCATTTTTTGATTTAATTATGAATGGAAGTCGAACAGTAAATCGGAACCTAATCCAATAAACATCGCAGGCTAGCGATGCCATCTAGAGTCGATTATGGCCTAGATAAGTTAATTAATGTCTAATTAATAATTTAGATAACATTTCAGGCCTAAAGAAAGACCTGCAATAGGCAGATTTAGCTCTTGCATAATGTATGTTTAAGCATTAACGCATTTCAAATTCTTTTCTTTCTTTACAGTTTTTTTTGATGAAATGTATGCTTGACTTATGCATGTGTATTATTGTTGGTTTTAATACAGTAAGCTGAACCCTGGTCGTAATACGTGAGTATAGTAACACACCCGTCGTCAAAAATAACCTTGATACACGCAAAATACATAATCATAATCCTGATGCTAGCACACACTCCATTATGTTTTTTTCTATAAACTTATTACAAGGGCGGATCCGGGATTTTTTGCAGGAGGGAGTTTGTCAGACTCCTATTAAGGAAATTTGACAGTTGATAATGCATAGTGCCACCACCGTTGACATACATACACATTGAGCTTTTTAAAGAGAGAAACCCAACACCTCGTGTGACATCAATTTTTATAATAAATTAATAGGATGACATTATGATTCAATTTCATTGATGCAACGCATTAATTTTGATATCACATATGTCTATATCATTATTCGCGCTTTGAATGTCAATCCCATCCCACCATTTGATAATAAAGGATAAAGCACACGACCGTTAAACTTTTCTCATAAAGTGTTGTTTTACAAATTTTTTTATGTAGCTGAGCAGGGTGTGGTTTAGACACCCCCACCCCCTCTGGATCCGCCGCCGCTTTATTATATGTTATTCAACACTCTACGTATGTTTATCAAAATTGATCAGCAGTGAATATTCGCTAGGCAGCTACAATCACTGAAAGGGATGACATTGGTGCGAGTTAATTACCACTCAATACTATCACTGAAAGGGATGACATTGGTGCGAGTTAATTAGTTCTGAATATTAACTTTTGTTAATCTGCATATTAAATTCTAAAGCATTTTTTTTAAAAATTATTAAGAACAGAAATAAATGTGTTGGAAGTACGTATATCTAGATAAAAAAAGTTCCTATTTTGCGTAAATGGGTACAGGTACATAAAATAGTACGCGTAGGGGTAAAATGAGTAAAAGGCACCAATTCTGCCCGGATCAGTTTGTGCTATTACGTCCGATGTAAACAACGTTTGTGCTATCGAGTCCGTATGATGTGCAGTGGCGTAACTAGAAGCTGTGAATATGGGTGTGTGTGTGTGGGGGGGGGGGGATCTAGGGTGCCATCCACAATCCCACCCCACAATGAATGTCAACAAAATACTGGCTATAACACTGGGCGTCCCGGTAGAACATAGATCGTATTGCCTATATAGTTGTTCGCCGATCGTTTTCTCGACAAAAAGCAGTTTTATTCAAGTTAACATAAAGTTCATGTCATATTATGATTGTATATTGATTTTTGTCAACCTTAGCGAAATGACTATAACACTGAACAACTTGAAAGGTGGGGGGAGGGGGGGTCTCCCTCTGAGAAAATTTTAAAAATTTGAGTCAATATCATTGCTTTTGAGGTCATTGCTGGGAGCAAATTTTTGTGAACGCGAGGCTCAGAAATGAGACTTAATCTCGAGGCCTACACGTGTCTTTCGCCCGACGACCCACTCACTAGCGGTACTACTAACTGGGAGATTCACTATAACCGTAAATATAATAGGGATGAGAGAGTATAAAACCACAGATCAGGAGTGGAAGAATGATGATATAATGGGTGCCGAACAAGAATTAGAATACACACGTGATGTGTACCTAAAATTGTTTCGTACCTTTTCCAATATATTGTTGAAATAAATTGAAAGAAATTAAAATAAATCTATATGTTGTTGAAAGAAATTGAAATAATAAACGATTACCTGACATTTTTTTTAATCTGGTGTTGATTACCGAACCCATTCGGTTCAGTGAGTTATGATTATTGACGACAATGTAACCGATGTAAATTTAGTGAAATGCTGAAGCAATTTTAGTTTAAATATCTCCTTTGCGTGTGAATTACTACTATTGGGCAGGCTGTGTAATATCAATATGGAAATTTCTGTTTTATGGATTTGCATCGTGACGCGTTTTTTATTTCTTTTTAATATTTTAACAGACAGTGGTATATTTTAAATGTTTCATGTTCGGCAGGACAGACATTTTTATACAAGAAATTTTTTCCTTTTAATATTTTAACAGGCTCTGGTACATGATTTAAATGTTTTATATTCATGTAATTATCAATGCATAAAATTCGCTTTTTGTTATTAAATCATCGTAGCTAATTCTCATTCGGCAGCCATTTTTATAAATTTAGCGCAGCCGTTGGAGTTGATCAGATCGTTTAAACTTTATTTCAATTTCTTTTAACTGATTTCAACAACATAGGAAAAGGTACGAATCAATTTGAGGTACGAAGTGAAGTACGAAACAGCTCATGTGAGGTACGAAACAGCCAGGTTACGAAACAGCTGACATCCAATAGAATCGAGCACCGTAGGCGCGAACAAATTTCACACAGCTACGTATAGTATTTATGTAACTGAGCTTTTTGCATCGTAGGCGAAAACAAATTACAGATAATATGTAATTAGGGACTGGGGGTGGGGTGGGGTACTACTCGTTAACTTTAAGGCCAGTCATCTTCTACAGAGTTAAAAGAATATTAACTCGCTCCCATGTGACGTATGAACGAGCCTGACGTCATGTAGAGCAGGTTATCCAGTCTAATGTTTATAGTGTACTTGCCTTGTTAATATTACTCTCTCTAAGAGTCGTTGGACAAGACGTAAGTTTTAATTTGGGTAAATTTTCGGTAAAATACATTTCTCTATCCATCTTACAACACTGAGCTGGAACTAACTGAGAGTTAAAATGTGTCCATTTAGAGACCTTGTTCCCATCTTTAAATTCTGTATAGTTCCTGATTCCACAACATTCAAACTGTAAAATATTCACCAAATACAATATCATATACAGAAATTTAAATATTCTAAATGGGAATAAAAATGTAAACGGTGTGACAAAGTACTCTATAACTTTCATCAAATTGAACGATCATTTAGGTGCTTATAACTTATGCCCTCAGGCTCAGCTGGGTTTTGATAATATATGATATTGACTTTTCAACTCTGTATAAACTTCTGTTAAGGCACGGACTGGCTATGATCTAATTAAACATGTAATTAATCCCATATGTCATTCACAAACTACATATGATCTGTGCACAAGCTCCACATGACTTCAAGGGAATATGTACTGGTCTGTAAGCATACCATGACGTGATATGTTCATGAGTCTTATCTATTCTCCGGCGCTATATAATCAGGAGTTTACTGACAGTTAGACAGACAGAGAGGGGAGGGCAGAGGAGAGACGCAGACAACCCGAGTTCAGCCGCTGCCTTAACAGAGGAGCCGAATGGTGGATTTAATATAGTTATATGTGTTCCTGTCGTAGTCTAGTTCCAGTATATTAGTTTAAGTTCCTGTATTGTTTTGTATGTAGTTGTGTTGTAATTCTGTTCTGATGTAAAATAAACCATATATTTACGAAACTGATATCTGTTATCCCTAAAATAGTCTTACAATGGTCTCTCTGTACCATGACATACGGTACCGTAGTTTGTGTCGAGTGCACGTTAAACCCCCGCCCCTCTCCCCCCCTCACTCTCTCTCTCTCTCTCTCTCTCTCTCTCTCCCATAATGCATCTTTAAGACGACCATGAAATAAACATTAACTTACATAAACCATGGCATAATCATAAGCTATAGTAAACTTGTCGCTTGAATTATAGTAATTATCATATCGGCTATTCAGCTGTTGATATAAAGTCGCTTCAAATGATTCGTTTATCTGAAAAATAAGGAGAAAAACAATTCGGTAAAAATCGATGAATGCATGTCACTGAGATCCTGGCCCCGAGTTAACAAAAAATTCTTAGACTTAAGTTAAGAATTTACTCAACTTTTCAATCACTGTTTATGAGAAATATCTTTGATCCAGAAATTTATTTCAATAATTCGCTTGCACGTACGGGTATCTAGCAGTGTGTGTGTGTGTGTGGGGGGGGGGGCACCGATGACAGACCTTACGTCCTAAAACGCATGCGTTAAACACTTCGGCCACCAAAGCAAAGGGGAAATAGATTTAAGAAAATGGTAGCGGAATTAAATATGTGGGAGATAGCTTGTGTCGAGTGGACGTTACATCTTTCCCTCTCCCTCTCTCCCTCTCTCCCGCTCCGCCCTCTCCGCCCCCTCTCTCCACATTGTTATTTTGATTGGTTAGAAGAGACGATGAACGTAAGTCTTTTTAATTATGTTTCTATACCATAGACAAATATGCAGTAGACATCTGCGAGTAAGGCGCTGCCTCACTAACCATGGGTCCCATATGCGATCCCGGTGTTGGCCGAGAAGATACCTCGGAATTATCCAGCGTGATTTACTCTCATCAATATTCTACAAGGCGGAGTGTCTAGCAAGGAACAGTGTCTAGTCGTTTGGATGAGACGCGCGCGTAACCGAGCCCTTAAAAAGAGCATAGAATAGCGTCGGCTTTATCACATATCCAGCGTGGTTTACCCTCATCAATGGTCTACAAGGCGGAGGGTTTGGCAGGGAACCGTGTCTAGTCATTCAGATGGAACGTGCACGTAACCGAGCTCTTGAATGGAGCATTGGGTAGCGTGGACTTAATCACAAGTGACATAACGGAAAGTTGATATTTCTGCCAAAAATGGCACAGAACCAGGATTCGGGTTTCTAAGCGCCTTCCACACAGAATCCGAGAATTAATTAGTTTGATTCAATGAAATATTTTTAAAATGTCACCTTTAATGAAAATATAATACTATATGAATGTGACCTACCTGTTGTCGGAGAACAAGTACGAGAATAAATCCTGTTAATTGTAACAACAGGATGATACCAATCAGACTGACATACTGAAAAATACGAAAATAACAGGATAATACCAATCAGACTGACATACTGAAAAATACGAAAACAACATGATAATACCAATCAGACTGACATACTGAAAAATACGAAAATAACATGACAATACCAATCAGACTTACATACTGAAAAATACGAAAATAACATGATAATACCTGTCAGACTTACATACTGAAAAATACGAAAATATCTTTCATAGTTCTATTTGTTAAAGCCAGCTGAATTTTCGTCAAGGTCGCTGAGATGTGAAGCCAAGCCCATAATCAACTCTCTAGTACATCGGATTGCCGAGATTTAAAAATATAACGATAAATTGGATAATCGGGGCTAAGTCTTGGTTGTCAAGTACCGTTGCTATGATAATAAACAATCTACGCTACACCTTCAAACAGTCATAACTTCGTCTTGAATAATGTAATTTGAATGAAATTTCAATATATTTATTTTTTATTATCTAATTTTGAACTATTACAGCAAGAACGGTCAGCTCTTTATCTAAATCTTACATAATATATCTTTAATGTAGGTATCTAGCATAGCACCAAATCCAAAATCATATACGTAAAGTAGCGAAAGCCCCAATCTTACTAGAAAAATACAGGATGCCTGGAAAAACATAAATGGGGCGCACACATTATGAAAATGAAACGACGTCGCTAACTGGCAGCATATATTCTCGAATGACGCAAATAGAGCTTTGTATGAATACGTTGATTTAATGGCTAGCGGTTGTGGGAACATTGAGATACTCAAACGTCCAGTAGACCCTGTGATTAAACGGCGGAACATAGTGGTCAGAGGAAATTCAAAGAATTAGCTTAGTTAACGGGCACCGACTAACGACAAATACAAGATAAATTTGGATTATACCTAAATCACGACGAGTGACAAACAAAATGAAATGAAATGAAATGGCGTTTAACGTCCTACTGTTCTGCTCCTATGCTGGGCTATTGAAGACGGGCATACGCCATACAGTGTGCTATGAGGGAAATTTTGCCCGGGCAGCGGCACTATCGCCTACTCTTATATCGAATTCCAACTGCCAAGGGATCTTTTATGTGCATTCCAATGGGGTTGGGATTAGCGTTAGCCCTGTTTACATCTCGTGACCTTTGACCAAACTTGAAGTTGGCCTTATGAAATAGTTCTTGCCGTTACTCACCATTGCCAGCACACATTTCATTTCCTTCATAATTCCACAACAACCAATGAACGACAAGATAACAAGCAGGGCACCTGTTGCGATAAATATGATACTACCATTGATCAATAGGCCCGGGTTAGTAGCATCACTAGTACTATCCAACTTGGTCATAGTGGACAAACGAGACTGGTCAATTAAGACATAGATACCCACAGCAATCGAGGCTACTCCCAATATCTGAAATTGAAAAAAAATACCCATTAAAATAATTGTAAAAAAAGTAAACAAAAAGTAAACATCTACCCTAGCTCAGTGGATTTTGCACACCTGAAGATGGTATTCCCCTGTCTCTCAGAGGGTTGGATGGCCGAATGGTTAGCAATAGTTGTCATTGAGTCGCCTGTCCAACCTCGTGGGTTTTCTCCGGGTCCTCCGGCTTCCCCCCACTGCTAAAGATCCCTACGCGCAAGCGAATTAATGAAATAAAATTGAACCATTTATGTAAGTGGTTTCGATTCCACGCTTGTACTTGAAAAGAAGCAGCGTCGCCTGTCCCACCTCGTGGATTTTCTCCGTCCCAAAATGACCTAATTTGTGTCGAGTGGACGTTAAACCCCACCCCCTCTCTCTCTCTCTCTCTCTCTCTCTCTCTCTCGTTCTCTCTCTCTCTCTCTCTCTCTCAAATCTCTGTTTCAAGATGACACCATAGTTAAAACAATATATACTCGGCCAAATACTAATGAATTTCAACAAATTGTTTTTTCTGGTAAGTCAAATAAATTTTAAAGTGTTTCTAACGATAGTAAGTAGTAAGAAGCCTTTAATTTCATAAAATTGTAAAGTCACGTGGATCACTCGTGAGGTCAATCGATGCAAGTTTGCTTAAACTGAACACGCACACGTAACTTGAACTGGAAAAACAAATTAAAATTGTTATTTTCATCTTTGTTAGAAAATGCCGCGCCTTTCAAATGTAGAACGTCTACGTGCTATAGGTAGGCTCTATGCTGTGGTCATTGTTGCAAGAGCCTTTAATTGTTCACGCCAGACAATAATTAATCTTAGAATGAGAGTGCTTCAAACTGGAACTATTGCCGACCTCCCAAGGGCTTGAGCGCCACGTGTGACGTCACTCCAGGAAGATCAAGCAATACGATTACGTCATCTTAGAAACAGATTTGTCACTGCAACCTCCACAAGTAGAGAGATGTTTGGTGGAAGGGTAACTGCACAAACTGTTCGAAATCGCTTGCAGGCTGCTGGTCTTCGAGCTCGGAGGCCCTATAATGGACCAATATTGACACCTCTTCATCGCCGTAACCGACTTGTGTGGGCCACAAGACACATAAGATTTACTCAAAGACAGTGGAATTCGGTTGTCTTTAGTGACGAATCTCGATTCACTTTGAGATTTGCCGATGGCAGGGTCCGAGTGTACCGCAGACAAGGTGAACGTTACGCTCAAGTATGCGTCAGAGAAGTTGACCGATTTGGTGGCGGCAGCGTCATGGTTTGGGGTTCTTTTTGTGCACATGGACGTTCTCCTCTTGTTGTTGTCCAAGGGAACTTAAATGCTGTCCAGTACAGGTCACAGATTTTGCAACCTGTTCTTCTTCCGTTTATGCAGAGACATGGGCCTGGACTAACGTTTCAACAAGACAATGCTCGACCCCATACAGCAATTGCTACCCAGAATTTTTAAAGAAATGCCGGTGTCCAAGTCCTGGATTGGCCGTCGCTTAGCCCCGACCTTAATCCTATTGAACACATCTGGGACGAACTGGGTCGACGTGTTCGTCAGCAAGTGAATCCACCACTGACGTTGCAGGACCTTCAACATGCTCTTGTTGAGCAGTGGCGACGTCTTCCTCGAGTAGTGTTTACTAATGTTCTGAGATCCATGAGAAGACGTTGTATGGCAGTACGAGACGCTAGAGGAGGCCACAACCGTTACTAAACACTTTATTCCGATTGTTCTCCAAGTCTGTGAATTTCATTTTGGGGGGTACTGTGACATTACGAACGTTATCAATGTCAAGGACTTTCGGCGAGACGTATTCTTGCTTTCTGTTGATGTCAAGGTCGTCTGTGCACAACATAACACTAAAATAGTTGCCTTAAACCAAATATTAAAAATCTAGTCCCAAAAATCCCGCGTGTCAAGTTTTTAATTTGGCTGAGTACAGTCGGTACCTATCTTTATATATCAAGACGCGGCATAGTTAAAGTTAAAATCAAAAGTATCGCGTGACTATATATGGTCAATACACCTTTTAAAAAAATAAACAATCTCTCCATTTTGTTTTTTGGGGTTTTTTTTCTGTTATCATATAATATTCTGTGATAAATTTTCCAATAGGTTGCTTGCTTTTCGTATATGTTATCGGGGCCGCGGTGGATTGGATATAATCAGGAATAAAGTTTATGCATAGTACCTTTCGGAATAATGCCCTATTAGAAAAGGGAGATAATCAGGAATAAATATTATTCATAGTACCTTTCGGAATACCTAATTATCTCGAAACTTTTAAGCCTTTTGCCCTTCGAGAGCAGGTTTTATCCGAACGCTTATAGTCGATTATACCTTCTTTGAATAGCTTTTATTCAGTTTCCTTCTGGAGGTAACACACTTTCAAAAATTTACTTCGAGTTTGAACTTGAAAAAACAATAAAGACGTTGGCTCGCTAACCTCGAGGTCCCGTGTTCGACCCTGGTGTTAGCCAAGAAAATTTCTCTGGGTTCTCCGGCGTGCCCCCCCCCCCCTTGTCAATGGTGCAGAACGGAGGACCTGGCAAAATTTATCTCTGTATCTCTGTATACGGTATATGCTTGTCTTCATTAGCGCAGTGGGTACAGAACAGTAGGATGTTAAACCCCATACCATTTCATATGTTATCAATATTTCATAATTGTCCGCCGTCTTTTTTTCTTTTGTCCGGTCACAACTTAGAAACTATTTGTTCAAAAGGGGTTTTTTTTTTGGTTCCTGTTTGCTATGGTAAGTCATTGGGGGTTTAAAGGAACAATAACACTCTTACTGGCTTGACGCCTCCAGAAAATAAAAAAATAGCCTTATTCTAAGTATTAGATGTTTAAGTGTCCTACCTGTTGTGTAAATTATCCATTACATCCTATTTTACTTGTCCAGAGGGTTAGAAAATATTTTTAAATCCAAGTCACATTTTAAAATGTTTACGTTAGGCTTTTCAAATCATTTAGTTGAATTTTTCCAATTTTTTAAATAAAGTGTGTTAAAATGAAATTTGTATCATCAATTACTTGGAATATTGTAAAATAGTACAATTTGTTGACCGGAATAAAGATTGGGGCATATTATTCAGTTACAACAAGAGTGGTATTGAGCCTTTAACAACCCACCGGGCTAATGAAGACGAGCATACAACATACATGCTATATGGGAAAGTAATTACATGTAAATTACGTGAAGGCTGACATGTGAATTGCCCAGAGTCGTTGCTTTTTTTCCCTGATTACATAATGACAAAATAAACTTACGAAGAAGAAAACATTAAAGAAGTAGAGAGTGTATTTAACACTTCTCACAAAACAATTCTTCGCCATTTTCTAGCGTCTTCTATTACCATTAACTGAAATAAACCAAACGTATTTTAAAGCCAACTTCCAATCTGATTATAACTCAGGTCCAATTTCGTTTCGTTTTTTATAGTTCAAAATTTTACTACTCTAGGATCTGGAAGAGTTGTTATATTACCCGAGTTTAGGATGATGTTACGGATTAGCCAATGAAACGGTCTGTTGCAGCGAGTTCTTGGCGTGCGATGAACGGAACTATGGGTACCCCACTACATTAACGCTGATTGTTTAATCAAATGTTTGAAGTCATAAGGTCAAAAACTGCTCGTATGGCGCCTGGCGCGACCTTGCAGTACAACTGGTCAGATCTTCATGTTGTAGATGATATCGAAAGTATAAAAAAAACGAAACGAAATATAGATCTGTATTTTAAAGTTACAATTTCATATTTTCTAAGAAAGTCAAAACACAATTATTTCTATGTCTTTTGCTCAATAGGTTGTCAGCTCACTATTATACGATCATAGGTGTATTCTCACACTTAAAACTCATTTACACCGGAAATAATAACACAATTACCTCCCAATTACCTCCCTTGTTTTCTATTCTCCACCATGGAGTAGCTATCTTCAAACGTTGGAATTTGAAGATGAAAATGATATTTTTGCCAATTTCTCAACTGGCAATAGTGAATTATAGGATTAATAGGATTATTTTTTAACAAGGTAGGACTGTTTATAGATACCATCTATTTTAAGGCTTTATTTTAATAAATTTTAAAAATATAACATAAAAATATGAAATTGCAACTTTAATCAGATTGGCCAACTTCTAAACAAGCGTATCTTAAAGATGTTTTATGCAAGAGCTAAATTTGTCTATTGCAGGAAGATTGTTTTCTCTCCAAATGTTATTCAAGAGTTAAATGTATCTATTGCATACATTATGCAAGAGGTACGTCTGTCTACTGCGGGTCGTTCTTTAGGTACATGACAAGAACATTATCAACTATCGATGACATCGGATGCTGGAGATTTCAACTAGATTTTCTCTTCAAAAGTTATATTAAAAATACATTATTCAATATCTAAATGCATCTATTGCAGGCCTTTCTTTAGGCCGTTTAAAAATGTTATATAAATTTTTAATTAGACATTTATTAACATGACAAGACCATAATCAACTCTTGATGCCATCGGATGGTCGAGATTTTAACTGGATTAGAACGGTTCGGCCATTCAATAATTTAATTTAAAAATGGAGAAGAGAGGCTATGCCTCGAATATACCAGTAAAATAGTTACGATAATAAACAATCAATGCACACATCTTGTCAAAACTACAATCATTGATAACTTGGCTCAGAATAAAGTAATTTAAATGAATTTTTAAATATAGTCATTCCGCATTATCTATTTTTGATCTATTATAGCAAGAACGGTCAGTTCTTTATCTAAATCTTACATAATGTATCTTTAAGTATTAATTGAACATTTATTCACATGACAAGCCCATAATCAACTCTTGTGAATTTGTATGGATTAAAACACAATCGCCATTTAAAACTGGATAATCGAGACATTGTTGATTATGATACTTGAAAATCGAGAATATATCCTCAAAACTTCAAACACTTCGCTCATAATAAAGTAACTTAACTGATATTTCATTGTCCATTTTTCAACTATAAAAGTAAGACCTGTCAGCTCTTTTTCTAAATTTTACATAATGTGTCTTTAATTGAAATAGATTTAATATTTCCCCAGTGTTATTCGGGTCTTTAAGTGCAATCTGACTCCATTCATGTATTTCAAACTGCAAATATGACATTTCTCATGACCTAGAGAATAAATTATCATAAGCTTACAATAAATGAAATGAGAAAGGAATCCTTCAATGTTAAAGTCTCGGTGCATCATGTTAAAGTCACGATGCGCCATGTTACAGTCCCGATGCGTCATGTTACCGTTCCGGTGCATCATGTTAATGTTCCGATGCATCATGCTAAAGTCCCGATGCGTCATGTTAAAGTCCCGATGCGTCATGTTAAAGTGCCGATGCCTCATATTAAAGTCCCGATGCGTCATGTTAAAGTGCCGATGCCATATGTTAAAGTGCCGATGCGTCGTGTTAAAGTCCCGATGCGCCATGTTAAAGTCCCGATACGTCATGTTAATGTCCAGTCGATGTGTCATGTTAAAGTCCCGATGCGTCATGTTAAAGTCCCGATGCGTGATATATAATCCCTTGCAAACTACAATATTGTTAACGAGGATGAATCTCTAATAGGAATATAGGTCACAAAATGAACCAATTCCGTTCAATATTTACAAAGTCGTGAAAGGTGGATCTCTAATAGGAATATTACTAAAAATGGATCAGTATTTACAAAGTTATGAGGAATTGAAATTACATCGATCTATGCTGTTCGCCATGCAATAAGTCCGCCGCCATTTTGTTGTCTGTGAGAAATTATTGATAGGTCTTTTTTAAACGCGACAGAATCCAAGCCGGGAGATTATCTAGGGTTTGTATTTTGATTTTGTTTTCTCAATTCAATGTTATAATCAATCTGAGTAAATATTGCGTGGATTAAAGAGAGAGAGAGAGAGAGAGAGAGAGAGAGAGATGCAGGACGGAGCGCCTGACAAGGACAGCTGTCTAGTCGTTCGGATGGGTCAGAAAACCGAGGTCCCGTGTACACATTGGCGTGCACGTAAAAGATCCCTTGACAGTTGGAATTCGATGTAAGAGTAGGCCGTAGTGTCGCTGTCAAGGCAAATTTTCCCTCATAGCACACTGTATGGCGTATGCCCGTCTTCATTAGCCCAGGTTAGGAGCAGAACAGTAGGACGTTAAACCCCATTTCATTTCATTTCATGGCTCGATGACTCTTTATATTTCGCCATTTACATGTATTATATTTTGCATGTGAACTAAGCGCAGTTTCAACTAGATAACCGAACAAAATAATAGCCTTTGTTAGAGAAGCGATATCCAATATGATTTTATTATAGAAAGCATATGACTCTATCAACAATAGCTTACAATGTACGTTTTGTTATTAAGGACAAGACAAAAAAATACCTGTGTTTACGGTACCTTGGTCCCTTAAAATGGGGTGGGTCGGTCGGAATGTACGTTTTTATGGGTTTTTTATTGGTGTGTGTGTGTGAGGGGGGGGGGGTTATCTTGAAAATAATACCGAGAGAACATCACTCCAAGACCGTGTTATAGGACCCGGGAAACCAGAAAAAAATATGATTTTTTTTTAGGATCGGCGATTTTGGCTAATGCTAAGTTGCCACCATCACGATTCGCTCTACGATTTTAATAGTGGGGTAATCATGGTGACCCTATTAGATCTTATCATATATTGTGGTGTCATTCGCAGCAATCTCGTTGATCGTGGATAGCTCAACATATCTGCACGTAGCAGATCGTGGACTCAATAGGGACAATCCTATCCACTCGGCAAACCTCAGCAGATTCCAGTACCATACATCTAGCCTCGGCTGTATGACGAAGTCCGTCATTGAAACTAATTTCAAGTTCCCGTATTACCAACGGCGTTGCCGTTGCCCTTTGAACAATGTTTCATCATACAAATATTTCAAAGTCTGAAGCTATTTTTCTTTCAAGTTTATCCGATTTTCTTCAAACAAGGACAACTTTGCGGTGAAAATTTTACACATGCTTCGAACGACGCAATTATGATAACTTCTTTTTAAAAGCGGCAAGTGTTCCTAATAAGTAAACCGTTGCCGCATCGCAATTCTATAGGCGTAGGTACATATCACTTACCATCATACAGCCGAGGCTAGATGTAGAGTAACGGAATCTGCCGATGTTTGCCGAGTGAATCCTAACGTAACACATCGCACGTGAATTGGAATCTAGCATTAACAAACAAAAAAGGGTCGGTCGTTTAACAGTAAACATGGGTTTCTTTTATTTTGGTCTAATCTTCAAATAGGCAATATTCTATATATTAACAGGTACGCCCTTGTTACACGTAAGCCATTATTATTTCAAGATGGCCGACATCTACCCGATGAAAGAGCAGCCTTTGTATTAGATATTTACACTAATTTACTTTTGTATTTTCAAAATTCCAATCATAAAGATCCACTTGAATAAACTATTAGATCTGATTAGTAATCGGTTTGCCCCGAAACGTACTCTATAATTACACCCTTGTCATTATATCGAAACAGGGGAGTTGGATGGCCGAATGGTTAGCGCATGCGCGTTGTATCATAAGGTCTGTCATTGAGTCATCTGGCTAGGTTTCGATTCAACGGTTGTACCTGACAAGGAGTAGGGTCGCCTATCCAACCTCGTGGGTTTTCTCCGGGTCCTCGGCTAAAGACCTCTACGAAAGACCCCCTACGCACAAGCGAATTTTTGAAATAAAATTGGACCGTGTGTTATAAAGATTCAATTGAATAAATTATTAGATCCGATTTGTAATCGGTTTGCCCCGAAGCGTCATGCGTACTTTACATTTGTACCCTTGTCATTATATTAAATATTAAAATATTAAAATAAACCTGCGGACAAGACAGAATATAGACATTGCAAAAAATAAACAAATATCAAATGGATCCGGGGGGGGGGGGGGGCAGCCGTAAGCGTCCACTGCGCTGTACAGTCCCGGGCCTGTAATGGTACTTGAGTCAACTGGCGTGGTTTCGATTACCCGGACCCGGTTGTACGTGACAAGGAGTAGGGTCGCCTGTCTAACCTCGCGGGTTTTCTCAGGGTCCCCCGGTTTCCTCCCACTGCTAAAGACCCCTACGCGCAAGCGAATTATTGTAATAAAATTAAACCATATGTTAGTCCCGAAATGACCTAGTTTGTGTCGAGTGGACGTTAAACCCCATTTCTCTCACTCTCTCATTATATTAATCCCCACCCGCTTCAGCAAAGTTTGTAAAACTTAAAAATAATTTTGTGGACACTCTAACCAAACCCAAATCATCTATAAAATATCATAAAACAAGAAATTATTTTAAAACTTAACCACTTGGGCCCGAAAGGGTTAAAGTAGATTCAATCGGAAAAGAATCGTGCACGTAAAAAAGAATCCTAGACAATTTTTCATTTGAATTTATTAGCTATATATTTTTCGCCAAAAAAAAAAAAAAAAAAAAAAAAGGAAAAAAATATCTATTAGATTTTTTCAGTAATTAACATAACAACATACAATATACATGATATGACATTAGAAATTCCAAATAAAGTTTGGCTCATTGCAATCTAATTAAATCACTGATCCTATTTCGTTTCATGTTTTATAATTCATCCAAAGTATAAAAAAAAAAACGAAACGAACTTAGATCTGGGGCCTGTTTCTTGAAATCTTAACTAAAGATTAAATACAAATTTTAGCAGATATTTCAATTATGAATGACTAAGCACTAAAATCAAACTAATATTATCCAATCAAATTACTAAAATTTGTATTTTATCTTAGTTAAAATTTCTTGAAACAGCCCCACCCCCCTCCCGTATTTTAATCCGATTGCACTTTTTGTAGACTGCAAGGCGCTGTCTTCATTAATCCCGTCGGCGCTAAAGAGTTGGACGTTAAACCCCATTTTATTTTATCATATCGAGTATGTAGATAATAGATTCAATCGGAAAGACTCGGTTTTTTTTCGTTTTTTTTTTTGATAACTTTCGTAATCGAGAAAAAACCTCGGATTCAACATGTTCTTAATTCATCCGACTGACCGCATTTCGCCATTTATTTCGCCATTTAAAAATATAAAACACTCAAAGAATTCCGTTAACTCCTATTATCTATACCCAAACCCAAACGAAAGTTTTTCTCAAATTATCCCACTGACTTACTTTGTAAAAAACCCCGAAAATTATCCAAATTTATATCGCCATTAAATATCCGAAACTCCGAAAATCCACCCAAAACCCCGCCCGCTTTCCTCAAACGGAAATGTTTTCTTTAACTATCGAATAGCCTTTATTTGCTTAAAATCGAAAAATTAACCAAATTTATATAAAACAGTTCCCTCAACTCTTAAAATCCACCAAACCCTGGAAGGTTTTCTTTAAAGATACATTATGGAAGATTAGATAAAGAGCTGGCAGTTCTCACTATAATAATAAAAAACTACATAATGTAATAACAATTTGCTGAAAATTTCAGTCAAATTGATCCACCCCGATATTGATCATCAATACTAAAGTCGGTACCATACAAAAACACAGTCTGGATTATCCATTTTTTGGTTTAATCAGAAGCAGCAGACCGGGTTCTAATCCAGTAAATATCCCGGGCTGGCGAGGCCATCGAGAGTTGATTATGGTCTGGATAAGTTAATTTATAAATTAGGTAACATTTCAGGCCTAAAGAAAGACCGGCAATTGGCAGATTTAGCTCTAACATAATGTATGTTTTATTATCCCGCTGCCTTTATTTATGTAAAAACGAAAAATGAAAACTTTCTATCGCCATAAAAATATAAAATAGAATTCAGCGAACTCCATAAACCTCTTGCTTCATAAAAAAAAATCAGATTAAAAAAAAAAAATATATATTTACCTTTTTACGTTACCTAAAATCTCCGTTTCATACAAAGTTTCAGTATCAATATCATCAATATATACAAGCAGCTTTTAAGACACACTTTAATAAAACACCCGAATTTAGCCCTATACTGATCCAATATATATATTTCACACTCCGAAACCAGATCACAGACAAATTCTCTCGTTTCTTTCAACGTTTTATAACAAATTCAATCATCTTAGGAGGTGAGTCGAAAACACACAATTCAGTATGTGTAAAGTCACCTGATATGAAAGGCTTTCCCAATCCTGTTTTACGTATGTATAGATTGAACGTATACACCCATATACTGACAGCCAATTATAACACCGGTATATATTGAACACCACACCCTCATTTTCTCCAATATATATATATATACGGAGAGAGAGAGGGTGAGAGAGAGGAGAGAGCGAGAGAGAGGGGGGGGGGGTGGGTAACGTCCATTCGACACAAACCAGTTCATCTCGGGACCAACATATGGTTTTAATTTTATTTCAATAATTCGCTTGCGCGTAGGGGTCTTTAGCAGTGGGAGGAAACCGGAGGACAAGCCTTATGATACAGCGCGCACGTGCTAACCATTCGGCCATCCAACCCCCAGAGAGAGAGAGAGAGAGAGAGGGGGGAGAGCGAGAGAGTTAACGTCCACTCGACATAGATTAACATAATAATATATGGTTCAATTTTAGTTCAATAATTAGCTTGAACGTAGGGGTCTGTAAGCTGTGGGAGGAAACCAGAGCACCGGGAGAAAACCGACAAGGTTGGATAGGCGACCCTACTACTTGAATTGCCATTAAAGAGACGACCTCTATTAAGATCGGTCGCATTATTCAGTTATTTCTTTTTTGTAAATATTGTGACCACGTTATTTCTGGTTTTATGAAATCAGAAAACTGAGTCCAAGTAACTTCTATGTGATTTATTAAACATAGATAATTCAACAAATATTTACAAGAGAGAGAGAAATGGGGTTTAACGTCCACTCGACACAAACTAGGTCATTTCGGGACTAACATATGGTTTAATTTTATTTACATAATTCGCTTGCGCGTAGGGGTCTTTAGCAGTGGGAGGAAACCGGAGGACCCGGAGAAAACCCACGAGGTTGGACAGGCGATCCTACTCCTTGCCACGTACAACCGGGGATTCGAAACCACGCCAGTCGACTCAATGACAGACTGTATGATACAGCGCGCACACGCTAACCATTCAGCCACCCAACCCCCCAGACACAAGAGAGAAAGAGAGAGAGATCCGATCTGTTCTAAATCACGACTCACTCTGTGTTTGAAATACAATTCTACAAAATATATAAAAGACAATTATGACACATTGACAATTAAACTATAAAATATTGCTTCTAAGTTGAAATCTAAAACAATAGTTCGTTTTATAGAGAGTTTGGTTAATGACCAATACTTAATCCCTCCATTGTTTAGACTTTATAATGCTTCGTCTAAATTATATCTGACGTAATAGCCAATGGCTGGTTTAATAAGGTTGTATAACCCAGGGGACCAGTTGATATTTGATATAACCGTGCTGGTTATAGTAGTTCTATTTAAATCTAGAATATTTCAGATAATACTATCTATATTTATTTTATGATCAGTAGTGGAATACCGCGTTTTATCAGTGAAATAAAAGTGTTATTCCACTGGCTAGTTGTTTTTACCTAAAATGATTGTAAAATCATAAAATAAATAGAACATTTGTCGTTTTGTCGTGAATAACATTTTTTATTTCATCGAGAAGCAAGAAAACTTATATGTTATTCACTCTAAAACGACAAATATCCTCTATATATATTTGTGACTGTCGTTTGTCTCTCTGTCTGTTCGGGGTTGGCGGCTACACTAGGTCTGCCCCGAGTCTGAAATTTGGGTTTTGGGGTAGCTCGGACCGGGGAGTAACATATACCAGGTGGCGTTAGTCTACCACTTCCGGTTTCGGAGTTATGACCCCCGAGCGAAGCCGGTCTGTTCGGGGTTGGCGGCTACACTAGGTCTGCCCCGAGTCTGAAATTTGGGGTATAGGGGTAGCTCGGACCGGGGAGTAACATAGGCCAGTTGGCGTTAGTCTACCACTTCCGGTTTCGGAGTTATGACCCCCGAGCGAAGTCTGTCTGTTCGGGGTTGGCGGCTACATCTGCCCCGAGTCTAAAATTTGGGGTATAGGGGTAACTCGGGCCGGGGAGTAACATAGGCCAGGTGGCGTTAGTCTACCACTTCCGGTTTCGGAGTTATGACCCCCGAGCGAAGCCGGTCTGTTCGGGGTTGGCGGCTACACTAGGTCTTCCCCGAGTCTGAAATTTGAAGTATAGGGGTAGCTCGGACCGGGGAGTAACATAGGCCAGGTGGCGTTAGTCTACCACTTCCGGTTTCGGAGTTATGACCCCCGAGCGAGGCCGGTCTGTTCGGGGTTGGCGGCTACACTAGGTCTGCCCCGAGTCTGAAATTTGGGGTATAGGAGTAGCTCGGACCGGGGAGTAACATAGGCCAGGTGGCGTTAGTCTACCACTTCCGGTTTCGGAGCTATGACCCCCGAGCGAAGCCGGGTATCCTGCTAGTTTATTATAATTCCTTGTTGTTTATAAAACTGTTATAGGTAGAAAGTAACTGACAGTATGGCCTGTCTCGTGAACATACCAATCGTATGATTAATCTATTAATTGTTTTATTTACCATTGTTTTATTTCTTATATTGTACATTATTACATCAATGCTTATTTATGTCAACACTTGATCTAGCCAAGTGATTAGAATTAATTCCATATAAATATGTGATTGTACTTGATACGTTAGTCTCTTAGGTCTATACGACTTATTGGCATAAGGTACTAGTCGGTTATACGCGGTCCTGTAAATTTATGTAGATAAATATTATTATAAGTTTCCAGTATTAAAAATTGGAAGAACCATTCCGGACTCTTGTAATATCTGACCGACCCCTCACGGTCATAATATTATAGTAAAGCCTGTACCATTACAGAGAGAGAGAGAGAAATGGGGTTTAACGTCCACTCGACACAAACTAGATCATTTCGGGACGAACATATGGTTCGATTTTATTTCCATAATTCGCTTGCGCGTAGGGGTCTTTAGCAGTGGGAGGAAACCGGGGGACCCGGAGAAAACCCGCGAGGTTAGACAGGCGACCCTACTCCTTGTCACGTACAACCGGGTCTGGGTAATCGAAACCACGCCAGTTGACTCAAGTACCATTACAGGCCCGGGACTGTACAGCGCAGTGGACGCTTACGGCTGCCCCCCGGATCCATTTGATATTTGTTCATTTTTTGCAATGTCTATATTCTGTCTTGTCCGCAGGTTTATTTTATAGATTTTTGTTTTGTGTGTAGTGTGGTCCTCCTGCACTTACCAATACAGTGTCTATTTATAGAACCATATCTAAGCCACCAAATACCTATACCAAGAGCTAAGATAAGCATAAAGTTTGAAATTATGAAATTGGCTCAAAATGTTTACTTTTCTAAATTCTTATCATTGGTGTTTAATATGTGTTTAATATACGGGGCTACGGGGGCTAAGTGGGTAAAAAAACAATGCTCGCTAGTCAGGAGGTCGGGTGTTCGATCCCTGCATTGGTCGAGAAAGTTCATCCAGATTTTCCGACGTGGTTTCCCTTTGTCAGTGATGCAGGATGGAGGGTTGATAAGGACAGCTATCTAGTCGTGCGGATGGGACGCAAAACCGAGGTCCCGTGTACACATTGACGTGCACGTAAAAGATCCCTTGACAGTTGCAATTCAATATAGGACGTTAAACCCCATTTCAATTATTTATATATGTTTACATAATAACTTTGTTTTATCTCTTTTTATTGCCTTATAGTTTTGAAAATTCTATAAAATTTTATGATTGGATTAAAACACAGTATGGCCCGAAATCATTTGTATTATGTTGTATAATTTCTGTAAATATTCAACTGATTTGTGTCACTTTAAAGCGGAAATTTCAAATTTTTAAGTTATATTTTTAAAATTTATTAAAATAAAGCCTTAAAATAGATGGTATCCATAAACAGTCCTACCTTGTTAAAGAATAATCCTATTAATCCTATAATTCACTATTGCCAGCTGAGAAATTGGCAAAAATATCATTTTCAACTTCAAATTCCAACGTTGCGGAAATGGCTGACCATTGTTTTCAATAGGAAAACAAGGGAGGTAATTGTGTTATTATTTCCTGTGTAAATGAGTTTTAAGTGTGAGAATGACACCTAAGATCGTATAATAGTGAGTTGATGACCTATTGAGCAAAAGACATAGAAATAATTATGTTTTTGACTTTCTTAGAAAATATGAAATTCTCGCTTTATATAGCACAAGTATTTCTTATATGTTTACGGTAAATAAATACCGAAAAACTATTACAAATACGTCCAGTTAAAAAATCAACGTCATCATTCTGATAAAAATCAAATGATACGCTAACTGTGGGCCCTCTGCAGGAGCCATGAGATGTTAATAATGCAATGCTTATAGTTCAACAAAATAGAAACACTTCAGTAAGTCTAGCAATAAAACCTCGGTTGTACGTGACAAGGAGTAGGGTCGCCTGTCCAACCTCGTGGGTTTTCTCCGGGTGCTCCGGTTTCCTCCCACTACTAAAGACCCCTACGCGCAAGCGAATTATTGAAATAAAATTGAACCATATCTTAGTCCCGAAATGACCTAGTTTCTGTCGAGTGGACGGTAAACCCCATCTCTCTCTCTCTCTCTCTCTCTCTCTCTCTCTCTCTCTCTCGCGTCTAGTAAAAAAAAACAACCCTACTCCTTGTCACGTACAACCGGGGAACCGAAACCACGCTACTTGACTCAATGACAGGTCTTATGATATAACGCACACGTGCTAAACCATTCACCCCCCACCCCCACTGACATTATAAAAAAAAAAAATCAAGATTTGTTTTGTGTTTCTTCATGCATACAATTCGTGACTGTTGCGTTATCTATTTTTAAACGAACAAAATCAACTAGGCTAACTTTGCTAACGCCCCTAACCCTAAACTAATTGGAGGTGAAATGGGGTTTAACGTCCTACTATTCTGCTCAGAACTGGGATAATGAAGACGGGCATACACCATACAATGTGCTATGGGGAAAATTTTGTCCGGACAGCAGCACTACGGTCTACTCTTATATCGAATTCTAACTGTCAAGGGATCTTTTACGTGCACGTGATGTGACCTCGGTTTATCGTCCCATCCGAACGACTAGACAGCTGTCCTTGTCAGGCCCTCCGTCCTG